CTGATTAAAATCTTAGTGAGATATTACTTTATTTCTAGAGTAATATAGTGACAAATAAAATTTTGACAATTGGCACTTTCCAAACCGAGAGTATTTATTTATCTGGGTGCAAGAGATACTTGGTTTTTTTCAATTTTTTTTTTATTACAAGCTTTATTCTTTCAGTTTCCTTTTAAGTTAAGATTGTTGAGATTGTAAGTTAGATATTTAATTTATTATTCTTTCAATTTATAAAACAACTTTAGTAGGTGCCGGAATAGGTTTCCCAGGCTTTGCACTTGTAGAGACTGTTAAAACAAGTCACGTTCTCGGATAAAGTTCGCAACTTCGGAAATATTAATCCTTTAGCTACGTGACAGCCATTAATGTATCAGTTAAGTGTTAGAAAAAAGTATTTCCCTTGCCTTAAATAAAGAAAAAAGTATTTATAGTATCATTACCATAAATACTTTTTTCTCTTTATTTAAAACAAGGTAAAATACTTTTACACTTAACTACGTGGAAAGGTAACATACATTAGTATTTTTACTAAAATTCTCCTTTCTTTTCCTGTGATGATTTTCTGGTTTTAATGAATAAACATAATAGAAAACAATATCAAAACATTAGGTAGGAGATGTAATAAATATGATTTTAGCGTTAAGTTTTCGGTGTAAATATCGGTTTCACAGCATGACAAACATTTTTAATTTAAAAAATATTGGTACCAAATTACTTTGCTTCTTATCATCAATCTTCCTCAATATTTATTTTTAGGTTTCAGGATGGAGCGGCCGGCAAACGAATGTCGCGATTTTCACTTATATCTAAATATACAATTACTATTTACTTTGTTTTTTATGCTTTTTCGATACATTAATGACTGTCACGTAGCCAAAAGATTAATATTTCTGAAGTTGCGAACTTTATCCGAGAACGTGACTTGTTTTAACAGTCTCTACAAGTGCAAAGCCTGGGAAACCTATTCCGGCACCTATTGAAGTTGTTTTATAAATAGAAAGAATAAAAAATTAAACATCTAACTGCGTCAAACGGAAACTGAAAAAGTAAAGCTTGTAATAAAAATAAAAAATAGACAAAAACCAAGTATCTCTTGCACCCAGATAAAAACTCTCGGTTTGGAAAGTGCCAATTGAAAAATTTTATTTGTGACTGTATTACTCTAAATAGTAAAGCAATATCTCACTAAGATTTTAACCTGAAACTTAATATTGTGTCAATACTGTTCAATACGCACTACGAATGCGCATATTAAGCGATATGAATTAAAAAAAAGTTCCTATAGGCATTTTCTAGGCTTATCTGAATTTATAACGAGTTTTGTCGTACACGTAAAAAAAACGAAAACTTGTTACGTATATAGAAGTAAAAGCTACATCTGCATCAAACATATTTCTATAATTTATTATTCAATAAGTTACAACAAAATTGTATTAAAAACAATGGCACGCTTCTACCCTAGATAATTTAATTACAATCGATGTGCAAAGTTCCATTTTTCGTTAGCTGATGTCACATACGACAAAGAAAATTAGATTGTTATAACATTAGGCTCGACGTTTCAAAAGCATATTATTGTTTTATCTTTATGTTGTTACATGTTGTTGTAATCTCTTGATTTTTTATTGATTTTTACTGTCATACTAGTAAGTAACGCACAATAACCTGTATTTAAAAAGCACACAATAGAGATACCTAAGAAAAATTCTTAGCCTTCATTATGCCATAAAAATTGTAAATATCCTATTAAAATATGTTTGTTTTTATATGAGTATGAGCACCTTGTATATGAGCACTTAGTATATTGAGAAAGTATGAGCGAAACTAGACTGCAAAAATAGCCAATGAATTTTAGAGACAATAAATGTATTATAATATTTTAACGCAGCACACTTCACTCCTTCTACTACAGCTATGTTCATATCGTAGTATTTTGTACGCCAGCGACCTCTATTTTCAGTATACTGGACACTTTTTAACTTTCCCCCCTTAAGAGATGGTTCTCCTTGCGTCTACCCTCCATAGCTATAAGTTAGTTTCTACCCCAACTCAAGCCCCAACAAAGTTCAGCGCAAACTGCAACATTATGTGTCAGTACTACACACTACAGGTTTTGAAAGTAGTTATCTACCGGTAAAAAAATAGAGGTATCTACCCAATAAAACTAACCACAAGGCGGAAATGAATGAAAGAAAGATAACGGATAGTAGTAGTACGTAGTACGGATAGTAGTAGTACATTGATTAAAAATTACCTACATGGCGCAAAAACCAAGATCGTCTATACAAATTAATAAAATTGATGTGTGTATTTTCAAAGTCAAAATAATAGGTTATTTTCATGCTCACACGGTTATTGGAACGATACCTATACCTAAAAATCAGTTTAAATGTTTTTTGTCTATCGGTCGGTCTGCCTGTCTGTCTGTATGTTCCTGACAATCTTCAAAACGGTTGGACCAATTTCGATAATATTTTACTGCCAGATAGCTGGTTATATAAGGAGTAACTTAGGCTATTTATTGTCCCAGAAAAACCCTATAAAAGTTTTCCCAGTCCGGGAATCGAACCCACTAAGGTAGCCACTTTAAAATTCCACGCGAACAAAGTCGCGGGCACCAGTTAGATTAACTATATAACTCGAAACCTATAATAGGCCGGTGATGAAACACATATACCTGGCCATTAATAGCTATAACTTTCTGAAACTTTTAGCTAAATAGCGAATTGAGTAGTTTGTACTAGTTATCTACCTATCTGTAGAACTTCGCGGTCCTGTACCCTTTCTCAGCACTGATCTTGCCCGCCAGCAAACTTCGTCGAACGACTTTCCTATAATCTACTCCTAAATCATCCTCCTTATAGTCGCACGAATATTAGTGGCACACCAAGTCTCGATGTGCCTGTAATTTCTATAGAAACTGTTTTCCAGATTCAATTGAATTGATAATTTATTATTTTAATACAACAAGGTAGATAGCAACCTATGAGAACTACAGTTAAAGTTTTGAACGTCTACTAACAAAAATCTAAGTTATGGTATTTAGTACAACAAAATAATCTAATTAGGTATGTTCTTGCTTATAGATATACTTATTTTGTAAAGCCTCTGTCTCCAAACATTACGTGTATAGCCCTCTGAGTGCCTTAACTATCATCATCATCCTCTTGATGATGATGATAGTTAAGGCACCTTTAGTAATCGACTGTTGGACATAAGCCTCTCCTTAGAAAGGAGATCTTGGCCTACTATAAAACGTAAACCAAACGGATTGGTATAGGGTTTCTTTCAAGTTTTCTTTGTCTTTGCAGAGTTTGCAGTGATGTTGAGGGTACAGGGGTGGTGTCACTACCCCTTTTCGTATTCTTAATCCTGCACCACACAGAAGCAAAAAATAAAAGCTTACTATACTTACTTGAAATAAAATTATTTGACAAATGTTACCTATTCCTACTTATCAAAAATAGGACATGTCAAGTCTTACTTACATTTATAGAATTTTTCGGATACACCATAATAGTAGGGGATCCATAGAAAAGATTTCGGGATTTACTCGAGCGTATTAGATTAAGATAGGAGGAATAGCTTACACCTAGTTAAGTACCTCCACCATATGCCATCACCATAGCCGAGCGTCTAGGGCAGCTCATCAGATTAGTAAAAAAAAAACGATGGTCAGAAATACTCGAACTTGTACGCCTAACGGAAGTTGGGTTAATTACATGCACATTAGTATCTATTTAAAAAATTCTGACGATTGGAACGTGACATAAAGCAGAGGGAGGGTCACAATGTTACAAAAAAATACATGACCTTGACATTTTTTTCATTTTAATCATACAATGCAAGGAATCTTCCTTAAATGTCTACATAATTTGTCGTACCTTCATTTGTTACATTTTATAAAAACAATAAACATTAAAATATTTTCAACCGTCAGATTTAACTACCCTGCACAATTATCGTTAGATTTTTGACTAGCATGACAGGAACATTAAGCTGAACCGACTGTATAAAATCTAAAATGCTCGGGTATTTCAAAATAGCGAAATTCTGAATTTGCAGTTAGCATTTTCGATAATTCGCTACGAGCTTGTGTCACCTTAAAATCGTCAGACGTTTCAATGGGAGCATTTTCGGCATCCATAATATATCCCCAAAATACATATCTGATGTGCCCGATTTTTTTTTTTCAATTTCCTCCCCTTACATGTTAAAAACTTCTTACATGTTAATACATCTGTATGTATTACAGCAAATGATTTTTATTGATAAATAACTGTTACTGTTTTTACTTACAGTATCGTTTTGGGATAAATCCTGTAAAGACACTGTAATTGTTTATAATAAATAAATAAATAATAAATAAAACCTATAGAACCTTTTCCCACCGCTGAAAGTGGAAACATTATTATAAATTTTGTTCATTCTATTACCTAATCTTTCAAATGCAAACCCCATGACGCTCGAATATATCCCAATTTGGCATCTCGGGCTACACGGGCTACTATAAATGTTACACTTTGTCATAGGCGCAACCACGCAAAACGTCTGATTGCTCAGCTGTCATTACAACTGAATATTATGATAATCTGTCTTTTTCCACAATTAGATCCTGACCTCACCACAATAAATATCACTTATTGGGAAGAGTACCAATAAGTAGGTACACACAAAAAAAAATGGTTTAAGTTAGTACTCGAGTAACATAAACAGAAATAAAAAAGGTCCAACGGAACTGAGAATCTTCTAGTGTTTGTTAAATGTCAGTTGAAAATAAATTGTTGTTGGATTAAAAAAGGTTTTTCACAGAAGGAATCCGATTAATTTTGCGCTGGCCGCTGCCTCAGTACGAATGATAAAAAACAATCATTCACCTGTCACATTCACATTGTACCCAAATTATAAAATTGAGCTCAAACTACTTTTTTGTCATGAACATATAAATCTTTATAAATATTAATAGTACTATGTACAGATTTTTTTAGAAAATCATCAGCATGAATGACTTTCAATCTTTGGAAAAAACTATAGTTCGCGAACTATCGTGTCGTATGTGCTTATGTACCGATGTGGTCAAACTCAAGCCACTTAGTACTGAAGTGAAACGTAAAATCAAGAGGCTCTTCGATGTTGTTGTAAGACTACTTACATTAATAGTTAGCAAATTATTAGTTACATGTCATGATTTTAGACGTCCCTCAAAAATGATGTGGGGGTCTGAATTCTGTTAGTAGGTCCTACTCTACAGTGGCTCTCACAATAATTTACAAAAACAAGCTAAGTTTTTTTTTAAATAACATGTTCCATACCATTAAATCGGTAACTAAAATATTTTATCATAGAAGAATATATAATAATAACAAAATCGCTACAAAAGATCAGAAATTGACAAAATATCTCCAAGTTCTCAAACCCAAATAATCATATTTTAGTAACATAAACTATAGAATTATATAAGAGAATAATGATACTTTAAACCACAAATTATGAATAAGTATTTCACAATTAATCTCAGGTTGAGCAAAAAATAAAACCTTTCATTTTCAGATCCGAACAGATGATAACCTACCAAAAGCAATATGTCACGATTGTTTACAACAAATATCGGCCTTATACTTGTATACTGTCAAAGTAGAAAAAACACAAAAATTTTTGGAATTTCATAAAATAAAAATGGATGAAAAACGTGAAGTCCAGGCACCTAGTGAAAAATTGCATCCAGTTGTAGGCGCACTATCCACTCAAAACATACTCGAGGAACCAAAGAAACCTGCTGCCTCTAAAGTTAAGTCATTTTCAATACCCACAGAACAACACCAACAGGGTGATTCTAAGTCACAAAAACTTACTACACCAAAGAAAAAGAACGCGTCCGACTTAAAATACATGGAATCTATGACTTTAGAAGAATTTGCTCACTCCGAAAAAGTAGATAAACAGTTACTCAGTACTTCAAATGTTTGTAAAATAGTTTCAAACTCTAAAGTCAAAGTACCTAAAGCTGAAGAGCCTAAATCCGAAGTGGACTACTCCAACGACAGTTTGGATCCCTTAGTGCTAATTGATGGCAGGCCTGCCAAACAAGGCGCAGCTTTGGATAGACAGATAACTCTTTTCTACAAAATGGAATGCTGCATTTGCCACGAGACTGGTTTTCATTTCCGATCTTTGATGAAACACTACAAAAATAGACACGGTGTGCCTGGTTACGTGACGTGTTGTAACAAGAAGTTTCATTATTTCTATCCTAAGAAAATTATTGAACACATGGCGTTCCACCTACAGCAGAACATATTTATGTGAGATAATTTGCAATGACTTTTCTTGTCTTGTTTACGATAGTTTACACTTATTTCGCGCCTATAGGAGTAAAGTTAGAGTATAGTAGTATTGCAAGTGCGGATATAGAAAAGTCATTATATAATGGGTTACTGTTACTAACTTAAATATTATAAAATGGTTAAAACTACTGTTAGCTCCTTTTTTCAATGAAAAAAGTCCATGCCATACTGATGGTTTGTAAGAGTTAATAAAAAGTGCTCCATCGCAGAGCTTTAGTCAGGCGGCTGTCTACTTTTATTATGCGAGACGGCCTAAACTCGAGTGGCATTCAAAAACCTCGATATCGATATCGGTAAGTATACATCGATATTTGATAATCTATATACAAAACATCACTGACTAACAATGTAAAGTCCGATTTCTTTATATGTTAGAGATGTAAAAATATATATTATCTAGAAGAGTAGTTTGTTTTAGTCAGGTCCTTTCTTAATATAAATTGGTACCTTTAATCATTCAAATATGTATATCATTACGTCGTCGCTGCATGTTATTTAATTTTAAAATTGTTTAAAATATTACACGATTAGGTAATAATTGTTGCATAATTAATGCATAATTTAATAATGTTGCGTATTTATAATATTTTATCGGTTTATGAAAATGGATAATTCAACCTTTTATTTATGCCTCTTTTCCTATGCGTATTATTAATTATAGTGTTCACAAACAAATTAAGTTCGTAACATTTTTTTTTCTTTCTAACAATCTGAACACATACAGTGTATTGCAACTACATAGATACAGTATTACTGATTCAGCGCAAAAAAAGATGTTTTTGACAACAATGACGATCGATTGATATGGTTATTCAAAACATTAATTTAGATCCAACACTGTTGTGCGGACAAAATTGCACTTTATCTATATGTCATATATGTATGTGTCGAATAAATCCAAGGTGGTGTGATGTAAACGATAATTTGCAATGTATTTACAGGAAGTATTAATAAACTACCTGTACAATGCCACGCTTAGCTGTGTCAAATTGTGGTGAAAAACGTGTTGTACGAGGGAGCGTTTTTATGTTCGCGGAATGGGGGATAAGGGGTGGAAATAAAAAAAACAAATTATTTTTCCTTTTCAATATATTCACCTGCAAGACGGATACATTTTTCAGATCTTTCAATTCATTTGTTTATACCCTCATAAAAAAATGTTTTCTCTTTGTCTTCAAAATACGCCGGAACTGCCTCCTTGACTTCATCATCGTTGGTAATTTTTTTACCCCGCAGCTCTTTTTTCATTTTTGGAAACAGGTAATAATCGCTGGAGGCCAGGTCTGGGCTGTAGGGTGGGTGATTCAAAATATCGAAGCCCACCTTATGCAGGGCAGCCAACGCAACGCGGCTCTTGTGGACGGGCGCGTTGTCGTGCAAAAGCAACACACCTTTTGTCAATTTTTACCGTCTTTTCTCTTTAATGGCTTCTTTGAGTCGCTTTAATATTGAAGCGTAGTATTCTCCAGTTCTGAGTCCCAATAGACCGTTGCCATGAGTTACCCAGCTGACTGTGACACCTTAAACTTCTTGGGAGGTGCTGTGCCCTTTTTATGCCACTGCATGGAGTCTTGTTTCGACTCAGGTTCATAATGATGAACCCAAGTTTCGTCTTCAGTAACAATTCTACTCAATACAGCATCCTTGTCTTCATTACAAAGGTCTAAAAATGCACGTGAACACTCTACGCGCTGTTGTTTTTGCGTCGGCGTGAGCATTCTCGGCACCCATGTTGCACTGACCTTTGTCATGCCAAAATGATCGTGCAGAATTCTAAAAATGGTTGTATCAGATACTCCAACTATTTCTGCGAGTTGTTTCTTCTTTAGTCGAGCATCGTCGAGTACAACTTTTTCGACTTTTTGGATAAGTTCTGGCGTGATCACCTCGATGCTCCTACCCGGCCTCGGGTCGTCTTCAAGGGATTCCCTTCCTTGTTTAAATAAACTGTGCCATTTGTACACCATGGTTTTTCCTGGACAAGAGTCGTCGTAAACCAATGACATCTCATTCATTATGGTCGCAACAGATTTTCCTTGCTTGGTAAGGAACTTTATAACGGCACGATATTCGATTTTTTCCATGTTTCACTTTTCACTCTCGATTATGTTGCTTGGTTGACGATAACTCAAAGACTAATGTCTAATAACAATGAAACCTGGTATTTATACTAATTATGAGTCACTGAACATGTAACGATTCTAATGAGCCTAATCACCCCCCTCCAACCCTCTCATTCCGCGAACTTAAAAACGCACCCTCGTATTTCGTGTTAAAATTTGAACTCAATAGGTGTAGAGCTTTAGACTTTTTCAAGCGTACATAAACCAACAACTTTTTTATATATATAGACAACTAATAGTAACCTTGTCATGTGCTGTACCAATCAGTTATAACGTAATACTAGTACGAAATGGATGGATGAAAGGCTTTTGAAGAGGTAGGTAGGTATCTAAAAGAAAATAATCGTAAAGGCATGTGTTCCTTCGCTTACGAAGGAGGAACTTATGAGGGACTGGTTTTTCGACTACCAAACCAAAACATGTGGGGCTCCCCTTATGAATAGCTTTGACAAGCCGTCTCTTGCAGTTTTGCCTGCGTTTGTTTTCTACGCCTTCTCCAGGTCGTAGAAGGTTTTTATAGGAACTTTTGGCCATTAACAGAAAGCTCAAACAACACTTTGTGGTATGAAAACTTTTTAACTCTTAGACGCATAATTATATTCGTACGTACGATATTTACGATGAGGTGATGCCCGTTGGGTTTTCGTATAGTGTTTCCACGGCGAGCAGTTCTCGGACATCCCTTCATTAACTCTCGTTAAAAGTTAATGATATACATTTCGCAACTATGCTCAGATGATATTAGAAAAAGAATTTGTATTCTTATTCGTTCAGCTGCTGCTGCTGTGTTCAATTAATTACATAAACTCGTAAAGATACTTTATTTGGCACTAGCACATATATTCGTTTTTTTACTATTAGCTTTTTTTCAAATAGTTCACTTAATTAAGCGACGCGAACTTAATATTATAGATCTTCTTAATTGTTTATTATAAATAATGCGGCAGGTTTAATTTCAATGCCTCTCTTATTCAGGTGACTCAACTGATTAACATCTTCCCGAATATGTATTATTTAAGAAGTATAAACTAATGACAATATATCTTGAGTAGTTATAGGCTTGAGTTAGGTACCCGGTATCCGTATTTATCACGTTTTAATATTTGCTAAAAAGAATTTGAGATTCGAGAAAACCTATTGTGAATGTCGAATAACTGATATAAGATAAAATTCTGAATAAAAGTCTAGCAATACTTGGCATACTAATGAGAATTTTTAAATCTTACAGGTGCCCGAGTTGCCACCAAAACTTCCAAACGTCGCAAGAGCTGTATGAACATCGCAGCAATGGGGGCCGGTCCGAAGGGAAAATAATATGCCCCAGATGTGCCGAGCGCTTTCCAACTTATAGGGAACTAGGCGTCCATATCGTCACACACCGTGTAGAGAAATTACAATGTGACTACTGTGGAAAACTGTATGTATTAATGCAACATGTAATATATGTCAAAAGCGAACTAGCTAGTTCGTATATTAGTAGTACTAGCGGTTTACGTTGTCAAATTTGTCTTACGTCTATGAATAGTGTCAATAAAAGAGAGAGCTATATAAAATTTATCCATTTTGTCTTATTAACACTGTAATGCGTTTCAATAAAGGTTTTGATCATGGGCTAAATGAAAGTCTAAAGATCTACCTTTAAATACATTAGATTGTTGTTTTTGTATTCCTGGCCACTTGGTTGTCTATATCAATAGTCGCCGTTAGCAACACCCAAAACGACTACATTTAATATGCCTCAACAATTCTCTGAAGTTATAACCCGGCCAACACTACACTACACTACTACACCGACCAAGGGAACAAACTGCAAAGGACAACAGCACTGCCAAAAGAAGGAAAACTTGAAACAAACCCTATACCAACCCGTCTGGCCAGCGTGGTATAGTAGGCCAAAACCTCCTTTCTAAGGAGAGGCCTATGTCCAGCAGTGGGCTATTATAGGCTGTTGATGAAGGAAAAGATTATTAATGCATAAAAGAGGATATCAATATAATTAGAAATGGAGTAGTGTTGAAGTATGTAGTAGTGAAGTTAGTTGAGATAAATTAATACATTGAATCACCCCATTATAATACATGGATTTAATGTATATTTGCATGCACAGTGTGTTTTTGATATATGAAAAAAAAAACAAAAATATTTAGTACCGATTAGAACAGTGTTGTTTATGTAGGTACTTATTGAAACCCACTGTGTAGGTGTAGAGTTTTACGTAGTACGACTACCTACGTAATTGAATTATGTGAAACCAAATTTATAAAAAAAGTATATTGGAAAAGGTACTTCTTATGCATCTTCTTCAAACAATAGTTAAGTATGAAAAAAAAATGTTTGAATAATTCACTTTACTAAAACATGTATTAGGCCTGGTTCTAAAACGAAGTTAATAAGTGTTAGCATCTTGGCTAATCCTCTAGAAGTCTAGAGAACCACACGCGTTATCGAATACTATCACTATTGTTTTTAAAATCGATATCTACATACATTTAGGTTTAGTTTTATCTATTAGAAACTAAAATGTTACACAAGTCACATGCTGTAAAAAAAATCTAGTAACTCACCGCGGTGCACCCTGTGTAACTCTAACAATATTTTTTCTTTCATTCTCTTTATTTTAATATTATCTTTCACTTTAATTTGGGACTATCCTTCCTGTGTTTCTTTAACAAAATAGGGAAACGGGGCTATTTTGTCGGAGTAGTAGACGTAGTCTGACACAAATTTCCATAACTACAAAGAAATATGCCAGGACAGGCAGATATGAGAAGAGTATGATCTGTTCACAGTGGACCTGTTCATGTGTATAAAATAAAAAGGGTATAAAATAAAATTTGCTGTAAACCCTTTTTTCCTATACAATTACTTATGAGTGGTTACTCCTCAATGCGGTAACCAAACACTTCCATTGGGCTATTTTTTGGTTTCACTACCAAGCCACAACGGGCACAATAGTGTTTGTTTTTGTTGCTTTATTGCAATATTTGAGCAAACAAAAGAAGTAAGTTACAAAATTAGATATTGTGGTAGGTGTGCGATCTTTAAGTTAATGCATTATAAATTCATTATAAATAAATCCATGAAACATTTTACCTTTTAATTTTACAGCGATGGCAATCAATACCTATACTTGAAAACATATTACAAAATCCGATTTCAACCAAAGACTCACGTTCACTCATTGGATGCGCCTCTTTAACCGTCTTCATAATTATTTCTAAGTACTTATTGCCAACAGGTTAAAACACCATCATCGCAAAAAGACCATCAACCACATGGAAGACTTGATACTTTGTACGATATGCATTAGAGCTTTAAAAGGAATAGAAAAACAAGAAAAAGAAATTGTGAGTACACAACCAAAACTAAATAGGCAACATTACGAGTATACTAAGATTCTGCATTCGCTGTATGCAATGTGAGCCTAATAAACGTGATGAATCTTTCAAACAGGGAGTTTTATGACGATACGTTTATTCCAGAAAGAGAAAGTTAAAGGCCACAGCAACGAGTCATTTGCGACGCATCAAAAATATCAGAAATTCAAACAAGCAATGGGACTTTCGGGCGATGACGACGTTTCGACAGAATAAAATGGAAAAAAAATTGTAATTTTGAAAGTATGTGACTTAAAAACAATAGGAAAATGTGTTGTTCATATAAATAAAACATTTGGCACAATTAATGAGTTTATTAGTCTCTATTGTAAAAGTAATCTTATTTACTATTTTTCACTTTTCTGTCACTCAAAGATCAGTCGAGCCTACGTTTCTTGACCAATGATCCGAGGAGATCCGAGATGGCTGGGAGGTTGTTAGTTTGGTCATTGGCACCTGTATTTAAATTTGACAGCGGTATATTCAATTGGTTTGTAGAAGTCTTTTGTTGTCCTTTCATGTTTCTGTGTTGTGGGAAGCTCGGCATCAACTTCGGGTCACAAGCTGTCGAAACAAACAATTTGTACATTTCAGCAATGAAATCATCTAACATGTCGCTATTATCAGGCTTAAACTTCTGCAAGATCTGTGGCTCTAGTTTTCTTTAAATATTTGGAGATCAGACACAAAACTGCTCTTCGTTAATGAGTTTCATTGTTTAGCATTATATCATCATAGCATTCCAATGTCACATTACATTGATGTTCTTAAATTGCGATATATTAATACAAATGCATATTCAAAGAAAAAAAAACCTAAATGGATTTGTGAATTTCTTAGAGTACATACATAAGAGATTCTAAATTTAGAAAACCTCATTTCTTTAGGGATAAAAAGATAACTTACGAAGGGGTTGCTCTTTAAAGTAGGAGCTCTGTAAGCACTCCTCAGCTGTTGCGCGCTTATTTGGGTCGTACATGAACAGGAAGTTAAGCAAGCGCAGGCCAGCCGCCGACAGCCAGGGGAAGCGCTGCTTCAAATTATTGTATGGTTGCTGCTTTAATGTAAAGTTCTGTAGAGCCGGCAAAGCGCTAAACTCTGGCCAGATAGCGTCAGATGGTGTTCCTGACGATACAAAATTGTTTATTTGTACATATTTTATATAGATTAAAATTAATTTTACTAGCAATACACCTTATCCTGATTCCAAAATAATAAAGAGATTTAAATGTATAAAGAATTTTGAAAAGTAATATCTGAAACTTGGTTAGGTCTTCTATGTTGATTAAATATTTTTTTTTTTTTTTTTACATACACACAACGCCATCTAGTCCCAAACTAAGCAGAGCTTGTACTATGGGTACTAGACAACTGATATTAATACATATATACTTTTTTATTTTTTGTATATATATATACATATTATACATAGAAACACCCAGACCAAATCAAACATCAAATGTTCATGCACACAAATGTTTGACTTGAGCAGGAATCGAACCCGCGACCTTTGGAATAGCAGTCCGTTACACAAACCACTACGCCATCCGGTCGTCAATAAATGTAAAGGTCGGTAAATGGTGAATGATCGGTTATCATTCATCATTTTAACAAAAGAGACCACTGCTAGACATAATATATGTTCAATGACTTCCATTGATCAAAGACTCCTGCAGTCTTAAAGACGTAGACTGTCTATTCTTAATGGACAATCTATTTTGCCGATTCGATTCTGCAGATAAACCCCAAGCATAGCCCTTTACATAGCTCGTAGAGTTAGCTGAACTTGCTTATCAAGTCTGTAATAATCGGATTCATGTTTCATCACTGGTAACACACACTGCTTGTACAGTTATGTTTTAAGGCACTGAGGTATTTGAGACGGTATTACATTGCATTGTTAGGGGTGTTTTTTTTTTCTTGAAACTGTACTGAGACGGGCCACACGTGATAGGCGAATAAAGAAATGTAATTTATACGTCGTATCCTAAAACAATTTTTTTTTTTAATGTTAATTTCAACACGTAAAATGATATGCATAACTATGTAATTATGCAAACTTACAGCTTTCTAGTAAGCTAATTAGGTAATCAACGGAAAAAGGATGCGCAGACGGACATTGAAAAATTATAAGGGCTTCTTGTTACGACTACGGAACGCTAAACATCAATTTTTTTAATCGATCCAGGTTGTTTAAGTAGCCGGTAACATTACAATAATTGAGTTCCTCCATTCTTGACATCGATTAAAAACAAACCTTTAAACAGTACACCATTAATTAGAAAAAATATTCATCAATTTTCTAAACAACAACAACGATTTTATCGTATAGCTCACCAAGCAAGTCCACTATGAGTTCAAGCTGCTCGATCTCAGTCCTTCCGGGAAGAAGTGGTTTATTAGCTAGGAGTTCACCAAGTATACAGCCAGCCGCCCACATGTCTAATGCAGGTGTTTGACGCGGCGACTGCAGCAAGAGCTCCGGCGCTCGGTACCAAAGCGTCACCACCCGTGGCGTGGCACTGCGAGCAGGAGCACCCAGCCAGCGGGCAAGACCGAAGTCCGCTTTAACCAATTATAGCAAGTGTCTTAATTCTGTATTCTTAATTTTTCATAAAGCAACATCTTCACTCTGACCAGTTACTGTTGGCACATTTATTTATAAACAAATATTTGACTAAAAAGCACATTGCCTACATATCTTAAGCAGATATCAGTGACCACAGACATACAACACTACTGGTGTTAAGGCAACACCGGTATCTACACTAGCAGTATTGTCTTCTTGTTAGATCGTGTTAACATTTAAACATCGGAAGCACTAAATAAGTTACATATTCAACTTATAGACTGTAACACTCACCTATTTTTACACATCCCTTATCAGTGAGGAGCAAATTGGATACTTTTAAATCTCTGTGCACTATAAAATTAGAATGCAAGTACTTGAGTCCTTTGAGAACTTGTAGCATTAGGCACTTGACCTGTGACTCAGTAAAAGGCGACGACATGTTGTCCAAAAGGGATGCTAAATCCTGTTCACAGTACTCCATTGATAGGAATATGCTGTAAAAAAAACAAAAATTCAATTTAATATTATCAAACAAAGACAACCAACTAATTATACAATAAATACAGCACATTACATACACACATACATAGTTTACATTTATATAATTACTAGCCGACCTCACAGCTTCGTCAGCATCTTTGAAAAGGAATAAATTGTCTGTTTTTGCAACATTTTCAATGATGCTCGGCTCTTATTAGTCATAGGGTATTCCAACAAGATTTGACAAGTCTGTTGGTCTAGTGACCCTGGTTGACCATAGGGTTTTTTGTGGAAATTCCCACCAAAAAACAATTTATTATATGATGAGCATGAAAGAAAAATACTTTTTATATTTACCTTTCAAGGGAGCGACCAACCAAAACTTCTTTGAGTTGCACTATATTTTCATGTCTACACGACATCAGAACCTGGATTTCACGTAGTCCACTTAAAGGCAAACCATCTTTTTCCACATCCATCCTCACCTTTTTTAAAGCGACAATGTTGCCATTCAACTTATCTTTGGCACGATCTGCAATTTTATTTTATTTATGAATGACTTATGATCATTGAACATGAAACAGACAATGATATAAAGTACATCAGATTGCAATTATTGAATTTGTAAACCTAACTTCTTTTAAGTTTGCACCAACGTCAAATAACGAGATTCTTAAGAATTAACCAGAAGGCCAATTCTTGTAATAAGTTCAGTCACAATTCAGTTCCCATTAACTTTCGATCACACCACTGTCACAAAAGGTGTTTTCGTAGTAAATTATTCAACATCCAACATTGGATGTAATGTTATTACGAGTATATCATGTTGTAACCAAAAATTGAATCGGTAATCTGTAGACTTGCAACGAATATTCGGTTACTATTCGGTATTCGGCCTATTCGGCTGCTTTTATTATATTCGGCCGAATACCGAATATCTACATATTATTCGGCCGAATACCGAATACTTAAATAATATATTTTGTCATTGAGAAATAATTGGTAAAATGAAAAATTAAAATCGATATTTTCATTTCTGTTATAATCATTTAAGTAGTCATTGGTGCATAACAGAGGTACATAATCATCTTCTGAATAGGAAAAATGGAGGATTCTATGTATTTGAATTATTGTGGTAATCAAAATTCAAAAGGGTAAGGTTCTCATTTCTTTTATAATCAATTATTAAGTAGTCATTGGTACATAAAACAGGTACATAATTTAATTCACGTCTGTACAAGTTTTTGGCGCTAAAAGTTTTTGGCGCCAGCCGAATACTTTTGCCTAATATTCGGCTATTCGGTCAGGGGCCTCGCCGAATATTCGGTATTCGGTATACTGCCGAATATACTATTCGTTGCAAGTCTAGTAATCTGCTAGTCTTACTTTACTACACTACTACTACTACAGTTGGGAGATCAAGTGTTGATCAGAACTGAATTTTGGCCAAACTTTTATTACGAGAAATTGGCCTTCTGATTGAGAGAAGAGTTTATAATTAAAGATCTTTGTCATACAGAAGTAATTTTAATAAATTTACTGTTTTGTATACAAAAATTGTTGTACTTTTTCACCTAATAAATAGAAGAGTTTCAATAATAAACTGTACATTTTACCGTCTGGACATTTTACTAATCTACAGAAAGAGAAATCAAGAAATTATTCATTAATTATTAATTTTTTATCATCTCATTCATTTACTTTATTTTTAACATTTGAAAAGATATTCACTGTACAAGTAAAATAAAAGAAAGGTGCCATTATTTGTTCCATAAAATAAATTAAAATATATATAAGTATTAATACTTACAGACAATTCCATATGTACCTTCTCCAATTCTGTTTAATTTTTCGAATTCACCAACAAATCGACATCTGCCAAGCTAAAAGCAATACAATGAGACTTACATGAAAATTAAGAAATAGGGGACATAATCTAACACAATAGACTATTATAACAATTCATGAGACACAAAATAACCTGTGCGGTGATTGATTTAGAATACATTTATGTATTTATTAAAAACAATTACAGTGTCTTTACAGGATTTATCCCAAAACGAGTACATAGTCTCACCACCCATTGTTCTCATAGTACTTGGATTGTGGAGGTCTGATGGTGGTCGGTCTCCATAAAAAAAGAAGACTTAAATCCGACCCCAACCACGTTTCGGCAAAAGGCTCAGATTATGAAGTCTTACCACCCCTCTACATGGGTGTCATAAGAGCCGACTAAGGGAGCAAACTCTACAGGACAACAGCACTGCAAAGAGAAGGAACACTTGATACAAACACTATACCAACTTGTCTAGCTATCATAATATAGTTATGTAGATCCCAAAAAGATTCTACATAAGATCACCAAATGTGAATATTTGAGAATATCGAATCTTGAGTGTAAAAAGCTATTAATGTAAATTGGAAAAAGGCCCAGGCCAAGGACACTTCCTCGAGGTAAGCAAATGTTAATAATGCATCAGAATTAAAGGGGCTCTATAATAACCATTGCATTTGATTACTTAGGTGGTTCTTAAACGACTGCACGGGTGGCGTAGTAGTTTAAGCGGTCGCCACGCCGCCTACTAATACGCTGAGTGCTGTGGGTCCGATCCCCACATGGGACGACACTTCGTGTGATCCACAAATTGTTGTTCTGAGTCTGGGTGTCATGTCCATGTATGTTTGTAAAGTCCCCCGCGACACAGGATTCATTCCTAGTGCGGGAGTTGTCTTTTTAAAACAAAAAAGATAAAATATCTAGTACTTTTTTCCTGACACCTTTTCTTCCATTTTATTAAATAATACATACGATATCTTTTTCTGGTATTTCCATGGTTTTCCCTGTTCTAAAGGAAATAAGGACGCCTTTCCTTGCTGCAGGGCCAGTAGGATCTGGTACATCTGGATTCGTCGCCGGCTTTTCAGAGTCTAAAATAAAATTAATAAATTTAGACACTTCGACATTTCTTACGGATTTTTACTTTTAGTTCCTATACTTACTTTGTGACATATTTGTATTTTAAATGTTTACACGTGTTTTTTTACTACGCACTAATTTATTCCTAGGAATTATAACAGTATAAAACACCTCTTGGTAGTCAGGTATAACCTTAACAGCACAACATTCAGATAACAGTCGAGTACAAACAAACATTGATTTACTGACATGACACACGCAGTGTTGACAACAGTTAAATGAACTCTCCACCAGATTCGACATTTAAACTTCTACTACGAAATTATGGTTACACTGAATCACAAAGCCTTTAATCAGAAGTTGAAGTTGGCATATAAAACCACCAGAAAACCACTAACGAAAAACGACGCTTCTCTAATATGCACTAAATTCCCCACTAAACATTATTTTTGGTAATTATGAAAGAAAAACATAAGTATATTAGTAACTAGTTTCCTTAATTAAAATGTAATACTAAAACTAATCGTTTTTGTCAGCACCATCATCGGCGGTTCCAGATTAATACGATTTTTTGATACCGACTTGTTTTACAACGTTTTTCAAATTATTTCATAATTTTTATTACATATTTCATATTAGTTGCAGCATTCTCTTTCATCCTCCTTCTTTTTTCTTCTTTTCCACAGCGAATTCTTAACATAGCTGATAAAAGGTCGCGAATTCCTCAAATGTCGAAGTCCCTTGGTCCCTTGGGCATCTTTGAAGAGCAGTGGAAGCACCTCTAGTATGTGGTTCCACTGCTCTTCAAAGTTCCTTAACACGTTGCGCCTACCAATGTAGACAACAACGGACCGAGTTTCATTGGTTTGCATGAAATCAAGCTTCGAATACTTTTGCCGAATACTTTTGCCTAATATGGCTAGTTGATAAGTGCTTTTATACAATGAAAGAGTTCATGCAATACAAAACTGATGTAAATGATCATTTGTAGATTTAATAAATTAGATATAATAATTCAATAAATTTAATAATTTCTAAATTTAATAATTTCTATGTAATATTTATATTTTATTTTTTTGACATTTTGTTAATTTTATTAGTTAATAGTTATCATTAGTTAATGTTTTGAGTCTCTATAAAAATATTTGCATGCCTAGTACAGGCAGAATATAGCTTGAACACTTTATAAAATCTGGTACCACCTGTATTCTCTGCAAATAAATGTTTCTTTCTTTCTTTCTTTCTTTCTTTCTTTCGTTTCTTTTCTGCTATTCACCCGGAACATAGAATCGAACCCTGAATTATATCGCTAGTCAGCCCAGACCCAATATTATCAACTTTGAATTTTCTCTTGTACCTCCTGGGGACATCAAAAAGATCATTCTGTCTTTTTGTTGTGACGCAATGGTTTCCAAGCCGTCTGGATTACGTCCTCGAAGTTTTGACTCACATTATTGACTTCTTTCCCGACCCCGGAACCTCTTTTTGCCATAAAGCCTACTTCATCCTATTACCAAAAATTAAAAATCCTTCTCTTTCTGAACACTTCTATCCAACCCCTATTATTTCTTTCCTATCAAACGTTCTTGAGGTTTGCGTACACAAACAGTTCTCACAGTTTATCTTTCATAAGTATTTTTTAAGTCCTCTACAATCTTACTTTTACTATTAAACCACTAAAGAAATCTACTAACCACTGAAAGCAAATTTTTGCCACTAAAAGGTCGGTTGGAACCACCAGTTTTAGTCGAAAATCTACAAGGTTGGCAGCACTGGACAAACATGCTTTTTTTTCTAGTTTTAATTCATAGATAACAAACATCTATGACAGTCTTAGATTTATAGTGTTTTGTCTATGATGACAGTATTGCTCTGTGAATTTACCAGCCAGTTTCACGTAGATGAAACGTAACCTTTATATACTCCTTACTATTGAAAAATATCTAAACTACTACAAAAAGGTGTTTTATCCTAATATATTTTCGGTTTAAAAAAAAAACATTTTTTAATTGTTGTAGGATGCTTTCTAACCGTTTTTCTGAAGCACCTATTTATTAATTTTCCCAAATTGTTCGGAAACTTAGACAAAATAAAATTGACAAAAAAGCAGTCCCTATTAAACGTTATAATTGAAGCCCCCGAAAAGATTTCCTACGAGTCACACAAGCTGAAGAATACAATAGAAGGTTGTTACCTCGTAAAGTTTTTAACAAATTTGACTTCAGCAACACTTATTTTCTTTGTTTTTTCTCCAACCTTCTATTTTTTGTTTTTCCTTTAAAATTGTTCAATTTTTTTTTGGTTGCTTCCCACTATGTGCTGCCTATGTGACCCAGATACCTTATTTTATGTTTAAGGGCCCACCCTGTCTGAAAGAGGAAGAGGTTGGGTTTTTGAACCTACGTTAGCCTCAATCACTCGCTAAAAAGAAACGGAAGAATTAATTAGCACCTCGAAAATGAGGCCATAGTATAATTTGGGTCAGACCGAGACGGTCCATATGTGCCGAAGCATGGCTCTCCTACAGCGTTTCTCGGAGCAGGTGTAATCACTGAGGACCTGTAACCTTTCATCGGGTAGGAGAAACATACTGCCACTTCAAACAATCCTCCAAACTTTTTAAGTAACTGCATCAGTAATGGGAAGCATTGTAGGAAAAATATGATGGAATGGAATGTTATAAAAGACTAGCTGACCCGCGCAACTTCGTCTGCGTCTCTCAATAGTAATAAATTTTCTCCGTTTTTGAAACATTCTTCATTGGTGCTCCGCTCCTATTGGTCTTAGCGTGATGATATATAGCCTATAGCCTTCCTCGATAAATGGGCTATCTAACACTGAAAGAATTTTTCAAATCGGACCAGTAGTTATTTAGATTAGCGCGTTCAAACAAACAAACAAACAAACAAACAAACTCTTCAGCTTTATAATATTAGTATAGATTTGTAAATACAAATGTATTGGTCTGTGGCTTAACACTGATGTTAACTAAATAGATAAATATCGAATGCACTTGTCTGACAACTTAAAGCCTACTAGAATACTCAATTTCTACAGAATGTCGTGTCCATTTATTATTTACTGACACGATCTCGGTACATCTACAATAATCAACATACAATAGTTGAACTGAGAAGAGAATGTTATGCTTATGACTTATGTCATTAATTTTCTGACAACTGATCAAATGACTTCAGACTTATGTTATAACTGTCATAAATCAGATTTATCAAACAAAACACCATTTTGCATCTTTTAATTATAATGTACATAACTTTTTTAATTGCAATTAGTTCTTTCTCTACAGCAAAGAATATTTTCACTAACCTTTAGACATGATGAAGTCATTTAATCAATTTTGGAAAACTAATGTGTAAGTTCGGTAAATTAAAAAAGTTTGTTTTACCATCACGTAATAATTATATCTTCTAATACAAATAGAACGCTTTATTAACTAACTTTTATTATCAATTATTTGAATGTTTCACTTTCTAATTTTAAGTTGAATCAGCATAATTAAGTAACTGCACCAATGAGTGAGAACTATTTTAAACATTAAAATGAGAATGTTTAGAATGCTCAAACGAAGAATAACCTTGTAAGTCTTAACATTAAATTACTATTTTCTTTCTAATACTATGTTCATTACTCATAGCATTATTTAGATTTATTGAACTGTAGTTTTGCACATTCACAAAACAGACAATTAATGGATATAAATAAATGATTTCAATTTAGATATTGTATTCGTATTCTTAAATATACATACAATCATCATCAACAGCCTTTAATAGTCCACTGCTGGACATAAGCCTCTCCTTAGAAAGGAGGTTTACATAGGTTATTTTTACATACAATAATATCAGATAATATGTTTTGAACACAGGCTTTTACATAACCGATAGTCATGTTCAATACCATCATCTAGTGCAACATTGTTTTGATCCATGTACAGTCAACAACAAAAGTTGATAATGATCAAAAACGGAATGTCAAAACTACTGAACTATATTTATGGCACTTCTAAGTAGTGCTACACTGTTCCAAAACTATGGGATTGAATAAAGTACCTATAAATTAGCTGATCAAACTGTTACCAAAACTTTAAAGCCCTTTCAAAATAATTAGCTGATTGGACTATCACCAATAGTTGATAATCAAAGACGTTTCAAAACAAATTAGCTGATTCAACGGTTGCCAAAAGTTGATGATTAAAGACGTTTCACAATAACAGATAGTCTTAAAAGTCATAACAATATTTTGTTATCATTTTTTTTTATAACTAAAACTATCATCCATAAGAAAATGATGGAGTTGAAGTATGCATATGAAACGGGGAACTTTTTTTCCACTTGTGGAAATCCTTCCAGATACCACACCACCCTCGAGCTGACTAACCACACGCCCTTCTTGGGTGGGAGGGAATCCTTGTACCCCGCAAACCTCGGGCTATTTATAGCTATCATGAGATGTGCTAGACGTCTGGTTCGCTGCCTAGCTTAGCAGGTCAGATTCCACCAGATCCCGGAAGCTTGATAGGATATTTTTTTTGCCTTGTCACTGATCTTCTTTACATTGAATTAAGTACCTACTGTATATTAGCCTGATTCATGATGTTGTTGATCTTAATACAAATTGACAAATCTATCTCACTCTAAATCCAGCCTACAAACAATAAAGTGCAATCACTTCTCTTAGTCGAGTCACTACCTACATACATGCTTACTCTGAGCATTCTCTAAAATGATGAAGGATGATCAAAAAGTACTAATACAGAGTAAGTTGTGCAAGTTATAACTAAGAATCAATTTATTTTTAAATTATCTTAGTAATTAATGTAATTCATATCTTTATATATGGCATAGTAGGCCAAAACCTCCTTTCTCAGGAGAGGCTTATGTGTATGTTTTCCTCAGAAAGAGATGTGGATGGACAGATGGTTGATGTCTACATCTTTTGTAGGAGATCTATCCAGCCTAATCTTGCGCCAATATACAGCAGTAGAGGCTAGAGTATTCAAGAGAAGAGCATATATCCTTTTGGTAAACTTTTTTTATTGAGTTACTTCATAATGCACATTTTGAAGATCTCCAGTTTAGTATCTGATTTGGTGGAGATAATTTTATTTGAACAGAAATAACTTATTTGATAGCAGTTTTAAATTACTAAAGAGTAGATTTGTTAATCGTTATTAATACACATTTAGCTGTAAGTGCTTTTTTCATGATCCTTTATAAACATAACAGCATTTGTAGTTTATTTATAATTAGATATTTAGCAAAATGTGGATGTTTTATGTCTCTGCCTGCCCCTTTGGGGATATAGGCGTGGTTGTTTGTATGTATATTTATTCAATATATTTCACATAAAAATAATAATATTTTTCGCATATCTGTCAAATAACGCCATTTGGCTTCAAACTAAACAGAGCTTGTACTATTCATTTAATTATAGAACTTTTTTTGTAATTACATACATATTATACACAGAAAACACCCAAAGTCAAATTATAGAAAAATCAAAATTTACCTTTTACTGCGAAACAAAAGTCACCTCTATTATAAACTCAATAATAAAACATAAGTACATATAAGTTTATAATACATAATACATATATTCACACAAAATCTGTTTTGGCTGACATTTCAGAAAGAAGTTTGGAGTATATGATGTTGTATCGCCAACAAAAACAACTCCGTCAAGGGAAGTTCCTAAACACATAATAAGACCCGGCTATGTGTCACTAAATGAAAGAACAATACCCAATGAGCCGGAAATCAAAGATGTTGTCCAAATAAGCAGGATGGAAAAAAGTTGTAAATTAGCTGCTAGTATATTAGAGAAATTGCATGGGTTTATTCAGGTACTTTAATATAAATTTTAATAATCTTCTTTTAGAGACAATTAGTGCGACAGAGCCTTTATTACAATAATGAATGACAATCTGACGATTTGCGAAAGGCTGAACAGATTAGCTAAGGACTGACTGTGGTTAATAACTTAAATTTCGTCAATGGAAAACAAGTAGTTTTAAACAACAGGCTTTCATACCAAACCCAGCTGGCTGTCGGTTCACTGGCATCATCACCAAACCCGTTTTGTTCGTCTTGTCAAAACGAATCGTATTAGCCAGAACGAGGGGTTTACACTAGTAGTCAAGGTCTAATCTACCAAACGCGTCTCTCAAGACTGTACAAATTGGAGGACGTTGGTTTATTTACTTAGTCGTTCCACCTTTTAGTGTGTTAGTGCACGACAACGCGATCTTTGGCTTCAAAACTACTAAGTTTGTCCAAATTTTGTATTGCCTCTGGGCACTGCTTGTGTGGCCAAACTATGGAAGTATGTATTGTCGGGATATGGTGGACAAACGAGGTTTCACTTAGAGCTGGGTTCAGCTGTCCGTCTGGGGCTGGCATTTGTGCATTTCATAGTGGAAGGAATTCTTAACATACGTCTCCAGCACCAAATCTCGAATGCATCCATGTTTCAACTCCATGTAGAAATATAGGGAATGACAGTGCTTGTACCAATCTAATCTTGGTTTTGGGACCAATTCCTCTTCTTCTCTTCTGTTTAAACGATTCCTAGCGTCTTTTCCCATCCGATTCGCATTTTTTTTTTTTATCTCGGGCATAGCTGCCGGCATTGCAGATTAAACATGCCGTGATCGACGTTATTAATTCCCGGAATGTGGCTGGTATCATTTGCTAACTTTCCGGTCCGATCCACTACCTTCACCTTAGTTTTCGCTCTGTTTACCGCCAGACCGACGCTCATTTATATTTTCTATTGTGCTAAAGGTACGGTGTTGTCGCTCGTCGGAGATTTGAAAATCTCTTTCCGTCTAGGAAGCCCTTATTCCAATTTTCGATCGCGAATGATGTATTCTCCATATATGTTGAGAAGGGCAGGGGACAAGATGCAACCCTGTATTACTCATTTTTTTGTTTGGAACATATTAGAGCATTATAACAACCTATCCTGATCAAAAAACGGTTTTCAGTATACAGGCTCTGTATCAAAGCAACAAGATGTTGAGTAACTCCCATTTCGAGCAGCACACTCCATAGTATATCCCATTACAAGCAGTCAAAGGCTTCGGTATGGTTCAGTACTTGTTCTCGTGGTTCTCTGCCCCTGATGAAACATACTTGCTCTCCGGGAATCTGTCTGCTTAAAAACAAGTTGAGACATTGATTAATTACATGAAGAATTATCTTACTTTATAAAATTTCGTAGGCAATTCAAAAACTTTTTTGTTTTATTTTCCAGCCAGGAATAACGACAGACGACATAGATGAATTAGCGCATAAACTTTCAATAGAATCTAGAGCCTATCCATCGCCACTTCACTATAGTGGATTCCCAAAGAGTGTATGCACATCTGTGAACAATGTTGTTGTTCATGGAATCCCTGATTTGAGACCCCTTCAAGATGGGGATATTGTTAATGTGGACATAACTGTGAGTATAACGTGTTATAGAGAGTTAGAGGTCGACACTTATCATTGTCACACATCAATAAATTTATTGTTTTAACTACATAATCATCTTGAACAATTGAATGTTTTAGGTATTTCTCGATGGATTTCACGGCGATTGTTCCAAGACTTTTTTAGTAGGCGACGTGGATGATAGAGGCGTAGAACTTGTGAAAGTGTCAGAAGAGTGTTTAAATATAGTAAGTTATCCAATTACCTTGAATTTGTGTTATTTTGACAAGTTTTACTTTTTATTCGACGATAAACGATCAAATAGAAACTTGCCACCTTGTCAAGTGATAAGTGAGCGCTTTAATCCCACGTGGGAGAAAGAATTTATACATTATAGTATATGCAGATTCTAACTTTTTTTGTACGAATTTAATATGTTTATTTTTTGTTTATCCGACGTTTCGTTGAAATTGGACTGATCGTGGTAACGAGTGGGCTGCTAAGAGCTCCGCGACGCGTCTGTGAACTGCGAGTTGTGGCAACTACCCGCATACTAAACTTTATGATGATAAATATTATTATCGCGCGTTGGTCTAGATTTACAAATAGATACTTGTATTTGTAAAGGAATCGGCGTCCCTCACATATTAATTCTTAAAAATTTTGATTTGCAGGGCATTCAAGCATGTGGCCCTGGGGTTCCATTTAGTCATATAGGATACAAAATACAGCAGCATGCAAAACGCCGAAATCTCACTGTGATACCTTCAGTTCTGGGGCACGGGATTGGTGAATATTTTCACGGATTACCTGATATTTACCACACCAGTAAGTTATTCAACTACTTCCTTAAATTCTGAAACCATCTGAGTTTCATTGTATTCATTTCACAAGTCGCTGGAGTCAAAAAATCTACTAGAAAAGCAATTCTTTCGAGTTAGGTTACCAGACAACCCGAAAAATTTGATTCACAAAATCGATATTTCGTGAGGGTAGGCCGCAGGCAAAATCTAAAACATATAGACTGTCCCGTGGAAAAGGGTCACACGTTCCGGAGGTAAAACATAGTATCCAGACAAATAAAAAATATTTTTTTTATTTTTACCAACAGCTAACACGTTTCCTGGGGTGATGAACCCTGGAATGACATTCACGATAGAGCCAGCAATAAGCCATGGCAGTCCAGACACAGTGATGCATGAAGATGGTTGGACATTACTGACAGAAGACGGATCCAGATCGGCTCAAATGGAACACACGGTACTTATCACAGAACACGGTGCCGAAATCCTCACCCAATCAAATCTGGTGAATTAGTTACCGTATGTAGGTCTTAGAGGTTATTTATATGTTGTTACTTGATTTTTTTTTGTATTGTTTTGATGTTATGTTTTGGTTTACACAGTAATGTTACCTTTGAGGTAGGAGAAATCTACAGTATTTTTTCGTGTGACATTAAGTTATTAAAATAAAATACAAAGTAGCGTGTGGTATTTTTATTTTAAATTAAAACGTGTAACTTAGTACATTAAAAGCACAAGCACAATGATTATCACTCATAGTTTTCAGTCAATAGATAAAATTTTAAAGGCGTAGAAGGAAGGTATCAATTGTTTCTGTAACATATGGATAATATGTAAAGGCGTGTACTGTCTTAATGCATTCCATAATGTCATGTGAAAGCAATTAACCTATTAGCGTTTTGTGGTAAGTACAATCGACCATACATCACAGAACTGAGCTTTGTAAGAGTAGGTACTTACTATATAGCCAATTCATTTCAAAATCTTGTTGAATACTAACCCATCGCACTACCAAATTACACTACCCGTAGTGCCATGGGGAATATTTTTTCTCTCCTGCACTACTAACCAGTAGTGTAATGGATAATTTAACAATTGTCTTACATCTTCATTCTCTTTGATACTACTTCAGAATGTTTTATTATTAACTAACTAGCTAGCTTCGGTCACGCTGCGAAAAGAAATATTTATTAGTTCAAAAATAATAAGTGAGAAATAACATGTTCATTTTTTTATTTGCGATTTATGTAAAAACTACGAACATTTGCGCATTGTAATAGCGCCTCTAATGTTTCTATTAAGCCACAGCACAGCGTGACCGGTTTAGCTAGTTAGTTAAGAATAGAAAAGACTAAAGTAAATTAAAGAGATTAAAGATGTAAAACAAATGTTTAATTACCCAATACACTACTGATTAGTAGTGCAGAAGGAAAAAAAAATGATACTAACGGTAATGTAATCTGGTAGTGCGATGGGTGGGAAGAATATTACATTTAAGTAGAAGCCATGTTTATCGTTGATATCGCCTATGGATTTTGAATTGGAATTTGTGGAGGAACGGGAAAGATCCAACACAAAGGGAGGCGACTCCCTTTGACCAGGAGAGGTGATCTTGCCTGGCGGGCCGCGGCCCAGCGTTTGATGTTGGGAAGTTGTATATATGCTAAACAGCGACAGAATCTTTCATATCGCGATACAGGATTAACAATTCTCATTCAGGAGTTCTCCGTAGTTCGGTGTGTCTTGGTTAGATGGCGCTGTAGTATTTCTATTTCTTTGTATGTGGGAGTCGCCACAAACTTATTTCAAAAAATAATCCAGATCTTACTTCTCAAGTAGTATATCCTCACAAACAGTTTTTTTTTTGCAATGAACAGGGTTACATTTGTTAAGTAGTATTAATACCATACCCTCGCTTGGGAATGTGGCCTTATACTGACATACCTTAAGTCAGTACCCACCTTTATAGGACAAAGGCGTAACTAATGGGACATAACACACTCTCAGTAAGTAATTACCTATTCACTTCACGCTTTCGTTCCACCGCATTCAGTCGTCAGAGTTTTGGTCCCATAATATATCCAGCTACGCCTCGACATCTAATGCTAGTTTGAAAAGCGTATAATGTTAAGAATTGTAATTAATTATGACAAGATCTTAAATTCACTACCATAAATTGAAGGATTTCACTGACGATAGATTAGCTACATACATATGTAGATACTGTTTCTGAGAAATAAAACCACTTGACATTAGAAGTGTGTTTCCAAAAATATCGATACTATTCAATAATTAAAATCTTAGTGTCAAATACCTATTTAATTTAGGATTATCCTAAAGTGTATTACGCTCAAATATTTAAAAACGGATTCTCATCACACACTTCTAATAACCATTTGATTTTATTTCTCTGATGATAAAATCTTAAAAACTAGATTTAAGGATCTTAAAGAATATAGTAAAACTTGTTGAAAAATAACATTTGACTAGTTGTTTGTAAAATTACGAACACAGACAACAAACCCTGCAGAAAATACTTGTGTAAATTAATGTCCATATCTGTATTATTACCTTTCACAAAAGTAAAATTACTGCAAATTCCTCATCTGTGCTATTTAGTTATTTTACCTTATAAGTAGGTATAATAATATATTATTACATTATACTATTTGAGAAGATGTAAAAGTCAATTTTATAATGTAATCAAGTTAAATATTTAAAAATAAATACTAATACTAGAGAAGAGAATTAAGATTATTTTAAAAAGCAAACGAAACCATAGAATATAAAACTTATACATTCACTTTTAGGATAATACAATTGATTAATCAGTTATGATAATATGCAAAAACTCTTAATTTTAATTTTATAAGTATATATTTTTGGTATTTTAATAAACTCGCTAAGGGTGCTGGGGAAGAATAAAAGAGTGTATAAAAGTTATTACAAAATTATTAAATAGTTTAACAACATACAAAAGCTACTCGCGATCATATACACCTCTATAAAGTTACTTAAACTTCAACACTCAAATTAACGCGCAATCTGTAAGGAATTCTCAGTCAAAACGAGAACAAATATATAAGTACAACCATTTAATATAATTAAATATTATTTCTTTCACAATAACGACATATAGAGAGGATACTTAACATTAAAAAAACTATTTACGTATTACTCAATATAAAGTTTGAAACTTTAAGCACTAGCCCTTGATTAATGCATCTATGCTTAAAAACTATTTATTTATGTATTAGAAATCAGCAAATACTTAGAGAGATTAAAACATGCCCTGACTTTATATTTTATATACCATTTCTATTCAGTATGGAACTAGTCAGATTTATTATAGAAAATTCACGGTTTGAATATTCTTATGCAGGTGTCTGATTTAATAACACAGAACTCAATTTTGTTACATTAAAATAAAAGTAGTGAATGACTGAAATATGTAATTAAATTTGTCATGTAAACCTACATAAGAATCATAACATGGAAGCTAAGTGTAATTTTTGGACAAAGGTACCTATTAGTGCATAATAAATTTATTGTGTACATAGATATGTGGGAAATTGTTAAATGTGTGGACAATTTTTTAAATACAGTTAAATAATGTATAAAAATAATAGTTTCATATTGTGTTAGTGTTATGGTGACAATAACATTTATCAATTACTGAATTAGTTCCCTTTTTGTTATACATTATTCTGAAAATATATATAATAATAAAATGTATGGTGAATATAATTATATTAATTATCTTTGGAATCAATTAGTGTCACACATTAATATATTCTAATTCAATCGGCTCAAAGGGTAAGTACCTATATCTTACCTTGATGTTTAGCTACATAATCTTATTTGATGTTCACATGTTTAACTCTGTATATTTTTATGTAGAGTTTGAGCATTTGACATAATTAAGTCAAATTGTATTTTAATTGATTACATATAATCCGTAGGTACGGCACCAGGAGTCCACGACTCCATATCATACACTTACAAAAAACAAATTCATATTTTAAAATAAGATTATTAAAACATAATCAACTTAAAACACTAACCAACAGGGTCATGAAACTACTAAAACAACATTTTCTATCTAACTTTATCACCAGTTGCATTACTTCTTAACTTTATAGAACCGCTGAACAAAATCTGTTAAGTTTAAAACTTGACCAGGCCCCACTTCAAAATCCATGTTAATATATTCATCCAAATTATGAGCGGAACCTGTAAATAATTAATATTGTTATGTATTTGCAATTTAGGAGAAATTATCATTAGATTCATATCGCATCATTCAAAGAAATAGGCACTAAGAATCGAAAATATTTACGACTGGGTACATAAAACACCTGAAAATATCTGTGTATTACAAATATTGATAATATCTTTTAGTGGACAGCCAGAATAACTTAGTATTATAGTTTTATAGAGAACAGAAATATAAGAAAAACAATCTATTTAATTCAATTTGTGTAAGTACTTTATTCGTAAATATGACATCATAAAGTATACGCATTCCAGTTTTGGCCAGTATTTCAAACATGCTACATGCATATGGAATGTAAAGACAACAATACAAAAAATTAGAGGAATATTTATTAATACAACTCTCACTTTTTTATGTGGGGTGGTTATGTTGGCCTCAAACCTACTAAAAACCGCACGCCGTCTCGGGTACCAGTAGACGGGAAACCTAGGGTACTTCCCAGTACCCTAGGAAGGAGTAGTTGTTATAAAAAGTATTTTCGTAGTTAAGTATTAAACATCCAATGTTGACTGTAATGTGAATGTATCGTATTGTAACCAAAAATTGAGTCGGTATAATACTGTGAAGTATTACTACGTGTTTTACTACGAAAATACCTTTCATGACAGTTGTGAGATCGAAAGTTGATCGGAACTGAATTGTGACCGAACCTTTATTACGAGAATTGGCCTTCTTATAAGTTTTGGTTTTTGCAAAAAAAAACTTTTTGTATTTGAAAAATCACATATACATTAAGTAAGAGAACATTTTTAGACATTAACTTTGTCAAAATTGTAGAACATTCGCAGTGTGAATGTTGAACCTTATATTCTTCTAAGTTTGTGGCTCAGGAATAAACATATAGATTTGCAAGGAAATAGGTAGCCATTTTAGCAAAGCTATGGTTTTAATTTCCTTAGCAACATAATATATTGCCCTGTGTGTAAATACATTAGTGAATTTCACAAATGTCGGATAGTGTATAATACCCCCCTACCCCCTTTTTTTCCAGTGCGGAAATCCCCTCGGATACCACTTACCGGCGGCAATGTCGGACTCGAACCGATTAAAACAGCACGCCGTCTCAGGTACCAGTAGTCGGAGAACCAGGTGTTTTGTGATTATTTCTAATAGATGTTACTATGACACACCATATCCTAAAAATAACCATTTTCAAGATTTTATATAAAATCGCCCAAATTTTGCCTAATATAATTTTTTTAGAACTTATATTCTTTATGTTAAGTTTATTTTTAAAACTGTTTTTTAACTGATAAATTGTTTTATAATTTCAATTACTAAAATTGTAGTCAACTTAACAAACTGGATAGATGGTTAATAGTAGGAAAAATAAATATATTTCTAGAAAAAATATTGTTTTAAAACATGTAGATATTCTCAGCTATCTAACAAGGTATAATAGTTAAAGAAAGTGTCAGAATTCATAAGTAGACTTTGATTTGTGCTTCTGATACTATTGAAGATTACGACCTATGCAAACAAGGAATATGCTGATAATATGATTTGTTATGGATACTGCCAACGCGTATCCGCATGAGCCACCCAACCACCTGCTTCAATCTACTTATTACGATAATTAGAATCCTGGCTGGATTCTAATTATTCTTTTACAGTTCTTCTGTAATGCACAGGGCAACTATCATGCTAAAACTACATACAGCAAATGAGATTATGCTGTAAATCATCAATTAAGTTAGTCAAGTGTTGTGAAAAACATAATATAAAGGATATGATCTAAAAAAGTTGTATTAGGCAAAAATCTTAAAAGTTCAATATCTTGAAAATAGTTATTTTTGGGATATGATATTTCTTAGTGAAATCTAGCAGAAATGATGCCAACTACAACCCCTTAAAGTATTTAGGTTGACTAACCCTGTTTACAGATAGAGTCCTTAACAACTTAAAGGTGAGCCCATTAATTAGTACAAACAATGCTATCAACTTACTTGGTGTAGATATTGCTGGGTATGGAGGTGGTGGTTTAATCCATGAGCCATCTGGTCTTTTCATGTGACGGCGATCTGAAGCAAACTGTTGAAAAAACTGCTTTGCTGGCACTACACGAAAGAATCTATAATTTCAAGTAAGTTTAGACAATTTATAATAATCTAACAAAGTTCAACAGTTACTTTCCAGTATGAATTAATTTTACCTGTGAAAATCAGACTTTAGGACCTGATCAGTGCGGAATGTTTCAGTCACATATTTATGGAAAAATGTTGGAAATGGTAATTCTGAATCCAGATCATAAACAAGGCAAGCCTGGCAATCCAACGAATATAGAAATATCACATGATAATCCTGAAAATAATAATATTAGTCAATAATACACAACAAAAAAAAATGTTAGAAATGGTTTTAAATATTTTAATACTGTTTATTACAATATTAAGTGTAAATAAATTTTTATATCTACTTTATATACTTTATTTTACCTTAGTACTGTATGTGTAAATGGTGTATTTTCAGATCAGTATTTATATACAATTTAAAGAAAAAAAGAGCACTAAAGTATTGACAGAATGTGATAGGTAGAGGAAGTTATTAAAGTTTAAATGAAGGTGGTGAAGCCGTTCATTACAATAGCATGACATAGTATTAGTACACACCCATATAACGAGACGGTCCTCCTCACGCCCAGCCCTTTGTTTCCACAGAGGCACCGTACGGCATGGGTTTGAAATAAAGACGACGTAACACCTCACTAATTCCTCTGGAAACCTTAATGATATATCTTGACATAGTTTCCAAACGTTTTCCTCGCTGTTTTGAAACATAATATAGAGAAAAAGACCAATTTAATATAATTTTATTTCATTAACAAATTTGAAGTAAATTGCAAAAAAAATAGCTTACCAATAACAAGACACATGCGAACATTCGTCTCGTTTAGGAAACAAAGGTAACAGTGATTTACTTCTTTTATTATTTTCGTTGCTGCTCAAATGAACTTGTGAATCAGCCGACATTTTGACTGACAGCTAAATTGTCTTGTTTTTAATTTTGTCCGTTCTGTACAGTCAAGTACAGTGTTAAGATTAGGCTGTTTAGTTGTATAGTGACGTACCTAATGTACCTAATACCTATTAATGAATAGTCACTGTTGTCTTCAGTAATCAGTACTCAGTGCCTAAGTGCATGTACTCGAACTTGTGTTTAACAAAAATATTCATGTATATTTAACACTTGAGTAACAACTTCGCACACCGGTCACAATTTCAGGTCTGCAGTTATGGATAGTAGATGGTAGGTAGTGAACAGTCATCATGTCTAAAAGGGAAATACATATGTAAATGGTTTCGTTTATATTTATGAAATAATGTTCTTAGTTAGTAAAGTGCAATATATTCATGTGTCACTAATCCGACTAAACGTAAACTGCTTCAAATTTACTAATCATTGTTTACTAACTATTTAACTATTTAACATGGTTCGCATAATATACATTTCTGATTCTTGTGTTATTATTTTTACAGTCAACCAATTTCATATTAATAGGTTGGATTACTAAGATCGTCAATATAATATTTCTTTTACTGAGACTGGCAAGAATTAGTGTCACTCTGCTCACATAGTCACATTCATGAATATAAATATCTTGAACTGTGAAACTTCAGTTGGTCATAGATCTAATTGATGTTTATCATAGTAATTTATGAAAATTCTACAAATGATATAAATAAACACGGAGAACTGATATGCAAATTTCAAACTTCTAACTCCACAAGTTTAGCGCTTGTAGACTTCACAACTTAACGACACGACACGACTCTAAATAATCGGCCGCAGTTAGTGGCAGATTATTTAGAGGGGGGTAAATCACTTCGTTACGGCTTCCGTTTCTCTCGCGCATACGGCAGCGGTAGACTGGCTCCTCCTCTCTTACTCTAACCCACAGCGCTGGCCGTATTTCGAAAAGACGCTTTTCATAAAATTTAAGTAATAACCTAAGCTTTTCTCAACTGTCGGGCGTCCCGAGACTCGCACGTTTTTTTTTAAATGTAACTAACACAAAAAAAAATTTGGGCGATATTTGCCGCCCTCTAAAATTAGCCGCCCGCCCTAGGCTCCAGCCTACTCAGCCTGCTGGTAAATCTGACACTGCGCGAAGCACAAGATTTCGAGATACCTAGACCTGTTGCAACTCCACCACTGAAATGGACCATCATCTTTAGCTTTATCACCGGAGACACAGTAGGAGTTTATGAGCTGCCGTTGACTTGTCATCTTGAATATCTTATATTTTTCAAGATGCAAGTTGTTGTTAGCATTCCCAAAAAATCCGGTGTGTCGTTATTTCTGTCTTGTCTTTATCGATGGGGTACTATGTAGATCAACTCTAACAGCGTCGATCTCGTCATCACTCATGATATTTTCAGAGATTTTAATAAAAATTGAGATCTAGTGGTGATGAGATCCACCGTTTTGAAAAATTGTTGCTTATTTCTTGGATTCAACAATTTAGACAGCATGATTATTTTATTTTGCTCAAGGTCGAACTTTATATAATTAAATTTTCCAGCAGGACTTTCACTTCCCCAATGTCTTGGTTATTACTAGGTACTGTAAATTTCTAAATATTTATGTAAGATTTTCATCATCATTATTTATATCAAAAATTATAATATGATTTTTTTTAGAATTGACCACGTTTCATAACACAAAGTTTCAAAATACAGACAGACAGGTATAAAGAAACTGCCCGTTTTTATTTGATAAGTCGAGAATTCCATCTGCTTGGACAAACTTTATTTCATCATTGTCCAATGGTAAAAAAAAACACGAAACACACGCGAACATTTTCTAAGAAAATTATATTTTGATTGAGCTATTTTACTTTAAGGAATGATATCAACCTTTTTTTTAATTATTACGAAATTAAATAGAAATTACCAAACATACGAAAGAGATTTCTCTATGGTTCAAAATGGTTACTTACTCACTCGTTATTCCCATTCGTTCGTTTTGTTTAGTATCATTGACATTTTGTTTGTGGTCGTGGACAGCTGGCTGGGCTTTTGTTAGAAGCCAGCGTTATCTTTTAGTTATTTTCAAAGTTTCTTTCGTATTGGCAAGAAGAGAGGGCGGTGCGTTGTCCTAGGTTTCGGCCGGACTAGCGTATCGTCCAGTCTTCCATAACGGTGGTCTTACTACACATATTTAGATAATTGCGACTCATCCCATCCATATTTTCTGGCATTGAGATAAAGTTATACGTCATGACCCGTAAGTACCCAATAACAATGTATTTATAAATTTATAATATTCATAATAGTTTCATATTCCATACTCATGAAGGTGGCTTTTTCGTCCTGGAAGGCTCACATTTCAAAAGAACGTTCTAGATCGTTCAATAACATGCTTTTCGTGACAAGAGTCCGATGTGGCGTTTAGATGTTGTCTGAACATTGATTGTATACGCAACTGAGCCACGTTTGATGACTAATAGGTATTTAACTATTGAGATGAGGTAGCTGTAATTTATATTTGCTTTCTTACAGGTGGTAATCAAAGAGATTTGGCTCGCGCCAAAAACCAAAAAAAACAGCAAGAGATGCAAAAAAAAAAGAATGCTAGTGAAAAGACTGGCATGTCTTTACAGGAAAGGAAACACAGGTACTTTTGATTTATTCAATCTCTTGGTATTTTACTGAACCCTTTTAGTGGTTTGGGTAAGCATGCATGCTTAGTTTTGAAAATTGACATCGTATATCGGTTTAATTAGCTTGATAGCTATTGTTTATGAGATCTAGCTATGGTTTCTAAAGAATATAATTGTCAAACCAACATTATTACTTCATAATTGGCACACAATTTACTAAATAACTGAGTTAGCAAAAAATAGGTGTATTATGTGGGTAACTAATAATAAATTATGAGGAATTAGCTGTGTAAAGTGTTTACTTTGTTTTTACATTATTGTAATTGGTGGGGTGAAGCATTTATTGCTAATTGGGATTTATTGCAAAATTTAAAGTTGTAAAACACGAAATCAAGTCTATCCAACTTTTATAAATCAATATTGTGATGAAATTTTCTTTGAAAGTAGAAATTTAACTATATTTAAGTTTGTAATTATGTTTATCACTTGTAGTAAATGTTGAGTATGTGAATATGTGATCTCATACCCATCGGATATGGGTTTACATATATTATAACAGTGAAGAGTATAAATAGAAATTAGCTCTAATTTGTTTGGGTAATTCCCTGCCTTATTTTCCAGCCATATGCATTAATAGATAATGGAGTCTTTTGTGATAGTTTTTCTGTTGTCTATGCCAGTCCCATTATAAACTATCTGTGCAGTGCAAAAGAGTGGCCATGAGTTTGTTTGCCCTTTCTTCTCGTAAGGCTCAACCCCTTGGAAACGGGCGGTTGTAGATCGGCACAGGCATATCATAGATTTTGTATGGCTTTGATTTTTGTTAAATTGCTTACTATTGGACAAAACAGAGATTGTTGCTTTTGTGTGTGTTAATCTATAAATTTAGAGTCTACATAACAGACGATTTCAAACAATTTAAAAAAATATATGAAATAAAGAGAGTTTGAGTTTGAAAAAGTAACAAGAAATGAAAACTTATATAACACAAATTAAACTCCCTTAATCATTCTTAGTATTGACAGTATTATTTTCAGTTCATTTGTAATGCATGTCATCCTGTCATCTTTGATGGATACAGTGCTTATATATCAAACTAAATTGCTAAAATCCTGATTTGGTAGTAGATGTACCAGTTTTAAAATTTATTATTTCTATATTATTGATTGTGAATAAATGATATGTAAAAGAAATCTATTTTAATTATGTGTGCTCTTATTTAACAACTGTGGAGAATGCCCATTCATGGTTTCACTTTTAGACATTTGTGTCATTATTAAAATGTTAAGAATTGAATTTAATGTGACTTTTGGACCCTGAATCTCTTCTTAGGGTATACTTAGGGTTTAAAATTAAATCTTACAAGGACTAAAACTTGAATCAATAACCATTTCCATTTTAAGTTAAATATTGAAAATCTATTTGCTCATAACTAGTGAAACCACAGCAGTGTGTCAGTCTATCTTCCGTCTTCAACCACTCCGTATTTGAAAACAATTTCTTTTTTCGTTTTGACAAGTTTTGAAGTATATCTGGCCGTTATTCGAAAATTAAAATTTACTGGTTTTGACAGAACTTATGAGCCGACTAGGTATTTAGTCAAATCAGATCTTTCTTCCATTTTATTATGACATTAATAATTTGAAGACTACTAATAATAATTATTTTTGGCAAGAGGATTTACTATTTTTATTGTTATAGAGATGCTGAGCTAATGAGAGAAAAGCAACGAAAAAAAGAGGAACAAGTAGCTGCAAATATAAATACTAACCGAAAACAAACGGCAAATTAACATATAAACATGCAAAGAATCATTGACTGCTCCATATTGTATATGGTCACATGACATTTTTTGCTGGTCCAAGGAGAGACTAAAATTGTTGATATGTGAATAAGCGACCTTATAAAGAATATTAAAATCTTTGTTATAACAAAGCCTAATTTACTTATAAACCTGATAAAGTATTATCATGTTGGACCGTACTTGAAATCTCAGAATTTCATAAAACCAAGATCTGAAACATTGCTTAGGCATAAATATCATTTTAGGTGCCCAGAGCAGGTTAAGTAGATTGTTCACAAGATTATCTGCATTTATGCAAATCATAATGTTAATTTTGACTGAATAGGTTTGTATGTTTACTCAACTACCCTTTTTTGTACAATAAAATTTAAAAAATATCATGTGTTACATTATTCAATAGTTTTACATTTCTTGTTATAACTTTACATTTCTTGTAATAGCTTGACCTGTCTATTTTTGTGACGTAGTTTGTACTCTCACCTTTCAAGACGTAGTCCGTCTAGAAAGAAGTCCCACGGAGATAAATGAAAATAACGTGACAGGTCGGCCATGTTCGTCGTTGTCAGGGGTTATTTTCGTTGCCATCGCGTTTTTTATTCTGTTTTAACTGTTATTTACGCTCCCTAAAGTTGTAAAAAGTGCCGGTTGGGAAAAAATATTCAAGGTACAGGAGTTTTGTAAAGCATGACAGCAGAATGGGGGGGTTTTAATACCAATTAAAAGTTTGTAAGAGAGTAGTTGCCACGACAGGTACATATTTGGGGATACCAGTTGTGATTTTTACTATTTGGGACTTATTTTATGTTTTTGTTATTATTAGATTAAAGTATTTTATATTATTGTTTGAAGTTAAGGCATTGAAAATACTCAAGTGCCTCCTTTTGTTTTATATCAATTTAAAACATTGCAGATGCGTCAGAGAAAACCGTTTCAAGGATAATAAGAAGGAAAAGTAGCGGCTAGTACTTCTAAAAGGATTGTTATACCACCAAAAATAAATTTGGACGGATTCGATCTCTGTGCTACTCCAGTTTCATACCGCAAAAATAGTACTTTTTACTTTAAATAAATTAGTCGCAGTATTAAAAGAAGACATTGGGTTTGAAGGAAGCCGCGCTACGCTTACGCAGAATACTGCAAACTAATTATTCGTTTTAGGAACAAAAGAAAGATATTAACTGAACCGTACGATATAACTGCTAACGCGCTAGATACATAGAAAAAAATAAAACCTTAGAAAAAAGTCCCAGTGTGTTCTTGGATGAAATATATATCCACAACGCTTATGCTAAAAGTTGTTGGCAAAGTGCAGAAGAGCCAGGGCTATGCACTACGGAGTCTAACTCTGGGAATTATCTGCAGTCGTTGACAAAAAACGTAATACCAAACTTGCCTGAAAAGTCGCTTGTGGTTATGGACAATGGTCAATACCACTGCTCAAAGTGCCAAAAATGGTAAATTTAAAAACTGAAATACAACAGTGGTGAAAAAAGGCCGCCTAAGCCGTTTTGTTTGAATTAATAAAAAAAAAGGACAACATTCAAGTTATAGTCGAGTAGACTAATGAAGATAGTAATACTGATGACTATGATTCAGGCAGTGACTAGTATGCCTGCAATAAACCCAAGCGGTGACCAAAATTATGTTATTAAAAGATAACTAAAAAAAATTAAACTACTTTATTTACATACTCTTTCCGTTTATAATTTGTTCTATCTTTTCTGGATATAGAAAAGTGCGAACTGTTCAATTGTATTTACTACCAGCACTCCGCCCCCTAATATAATAAAGGCTGGCAACATTCCGTCGCATGACTGCAGCGCCGGTCTGTGGGACTTTTTTCGTGAGTTTGTGTTTCGTGACTTTCGACTACAATTACCTTGTTCAATAGCCATAGATGATACAATAATAAGTTATTCACAAGCTATTCCTGTCAACAATAAAAAATTAACATGTTCCTCTTGAGACTGCAAACTTCTTTAGGCGCGTTGGACATTTTTGAACAACAAAATAATGTATTTTTTGAGATGGGAAATAACCATTGAACGGATGGCGTAGTGGTTTAAGCGGTCACCACGTCGCTTTCTACTACGCCGAGTGTTGTGGGTTCAAACGCCACATGGGACGACACTTCGTGTGATCCACAAATTGTTGTTCTGAGTCTGGGTGTTATTTGTGTCCGTTTCATGTATGTTTGTAAAGTCCCCCGCGACACAGGATATATTCCTAATGCGGGAGTTGTCTTTTTTGAACGAAAATAAACAAAAAAATTAAACTCGTTACCGTTACCGACACCTCTGTATTGGTATTGGTTGTGGGCTCCGTTTGCCGCATTAAGACTCGAGAGTGGTCCTTATACGTCGAGGACAGGTTGGCTAGGTGAGCAAACAAAGCTCGTTACAGAAGCGCAGAAGTCTCTTGGGGCGTTCACAGGCTTCTGGGAGCGATTTTGTATTAGTATAATGCACTTGCCCGTTCTGTGGCCAGTCCCTTGCATTCCAGGATTACGTGGGCGGCCGTTTCTTCTGCTTTCGGACATCCTCTGCAAAGAGGATTTTCCGTGGCATTAATGGCGAATAGTTGTCGGTTCAGGGCTAGGTGTCCTGTTATAGTTACTATAACTATTCGGATTTGTAGTCTGCTAAGATTGATCAATTTGCAGGTGAGTCCTGGTGTGACTTCAGTCAGCACCAGTTTGGACTTTCTGGAGCTGGGTGAGGTTTTCCACCTCCGGTTACGCGCTTCACGAGTCCGATTACTGACCCAGAATCGTAGTTGGTTGAACGGTATTGGTAAGAGTACGGTTGGGCCGGTAACCAGGTTTGCCGAGCTTCTCCTTGAAAACTCATCTGCGGCGTCGTTCCCCTATAAGTTACTGTGCCCTTTAATCCATTGGAGGAGTACCTCATTTAATGTGGCAAGCTGCTTCAATGCTTGATGTCATTCGAAGGCAATACCAGAGGTCATTGTGTTGCCCTCTAATGCCTTTAACGGCCATGCTGTCGGATAGTATTCGTATGTTATAGTCCTTAATACCCCTTGACATGACCGTTGTGGCGGCGTAAGTTATTGCCACACATTCGCATTGGAATATGGAACTGTGTTGGCATAACGCTAGTGATATGTTCATATTTAGGAGAAGAGAGAGAACCTGCGAGAGAACTCCGGCTCCAGTTCCTGACTTGGAACCGTCCGCGAAAATTCGGACTTCGTTAAAGCCGGATTGATCTCGTTTTTTTTCTTGTATCTGAATCTAGTATCTTTTTGTTAAGATATGGTGTTATGGTATTCTATCGCATGGGGCTGCTATTAGTGGTGCGTATTCCACTAATTTATTCCATAATTTGGATTGCAAACCCTTACCTTTATGCCATAGACCGAGGTGTCCGAGTCTAATGATAGCCATGGCGGCCTCGTACTGCATGAATAAATCCAGTGGGGGCAGACCAAGAGCCAGGTGGCAGTTGGCGTTGTGCGCATACAGCCAGTGACCGCGGAGAAATTGCTGCTATCTGTTTATAACGGTGCTTAGCTCTGTTCTCTGCCAACAGGCAATAGCACCGTATGTGATTATTGGTCTTATGACTGTTCTATAGAGCCATAGCGTAATCTTTGGTGATAGTTCCTAGCTCTTGCCGAATAGCCGTTTGCATTGGCACAAGATAATGCAGGCTTTGTTTAGTTTTTCATCGAGGTGCTTATTCCACAGGAGTCTACTGTCCAGTATTACTCCTTGGTACTTGACCTCTTTGGTAAGAGCTAGTTGCGTTCCAAATAGCTTCGGTAGTCTGAGATTTCCTAGACTACGTTTGTTTGTGAACATAATCATCTCTGATTTCGATGGGTTCACTGTAACGATGTGTTACACACCACTGTTTGATCGCATGTAACCTCTGAAAGGGACCACTGATGAGGACAGTCAGATCGTCTGCATAGCCTATTGTGAGGAATCTGCGGTCATTGAGTTGTGTGATGAGTTCATCCACTACAATGTTTCATAGAAGGGGGGAGAGTACACCGCCCTAGGGGCATCCTCTAGCCACCACCCCTCTAGTCACTTCACTCACAGTAAATTGGATATTATTGTAATGTCAAATCCAAATACTAGAAATTCATTTGTGTTGTGCTAAAATGTACAACCACCGGTGCGCCGGAAAAGTTATTTTTTCTCGTTCCAATGGATGTCAAAATGCGAAAGAAATGGTTACAAGCTATGAAGAGATTAGATCTCTTTGGCGATCGAAGCAAAGTTTATTGTTGTGAAGATCATTTTGGTGTAAGTGTAATGATTACCTTTTATGCACAGTAGTAGTAGTAAACAAAGCGTAATAATTTTATATAGCAAAAAATAACACCCATCTATCATTCGGATTCTTCTGCTATCCGTACCCGAAGTTAATGACGTCACGTTTGATAGTCGTCTAGTTCGCTTGGTCGAGTAGTAAAATCATCTTGGTACTTTTAAATAAAACAAAAACAAGTGTATCTGTATATATAAAAGCTTTACTGTAACAAAGATTCAAGTGTTTTTGTACGTATATAAGACATTGAAAAACTAGTTTCAGGACAAAAAAAAACACTATTCATCATGTTTATACTGTACTTATTTGAAATAATATCTCAACATATTAAATATGTGAACATTACAATTAATTGTGATCGTTACATAGAATCACTGGTAACATTTGTTTAGCAAATTGAGTGGTACTATACAGTTATTCCTCTAATGATACTATAATAATTACATTTAAGTACCTACATACAGAAATTGTTACAAGACATAAAAAGTAACTGCATGGTTAATATCAATATCAGCAGCGATTGATTGTAACACAACCAAGTTGTATGCGCATTAATAACTCGTTACTTTTGAGCGAAAATTGCCAAACATTTTTGACACATACACAATATACACAGAAAAAAATATTTTGTATTTGAGGAAGTTAAGATTTAGTTTAGCATTTATATATCTAATCGTCAACTTTACATGACCGGTTAATATCAATCGATAATGAAAAAAACATTAAATTCCATTTTAAATCACATCTTAAAATCAGTTCCTTAGTTCAAATTATGTCTTTTTGTGGGAAGCTTTTGATCTTTAATAATTTGTCTTTTGACTACTACAAAACTACCATTTGTATTGAGCTTGTATAACAAACACCATTTTGAAATGATTCAATGATGACTTTATAATTTAGTACTATCGTATCGTAAAGAAATAAAAAAACCCAATGACACAGAACATTATAACACTATCCTAGATAATAAAAAAAAACAACAATATATTGCATTATAACATAACATGAACTAGCGAAAGAACCAGGTTTAAACTTTTTTCTTATTGTATTTTTAGCGTTTTTCAAACCTAATTCATTTGCTAGTTTTGGTTTAATCATCAATCAAAACCTGTTAAACAGAATATTTTGGTAGATGATAAGCATATTATAAATAGACAGTGTAGAATAATTGCACAAAAAATACTCCAACAATAAAAAGATTGCACTTATTACTTTCTCCAAACAATAAACCCCAAAACTTCAATAGCGTATGTTTTACTTTTATGTACTTATGTTAAAGCAACTACGCCTAGAGTACCTACATATTACACTATATAAAGCGTATGATTGGAATACTGGCCTTCTGATTAAGACGATCATTGATCGAACACAGATATGCAAATAGTTCTGTATTTAAATAAGTTTACGTACAAAAAGGGCCCATGGCATCATTTATAAAATATAACGCCATTTATTGAGGTAAAATGTTTGTATAAATAGAAATGGTTCATATATTTTAATCATAGGTTTCGTCGGGATTCAATCCCAATTTATAAGATATACGAAAAACGGTCACTTGCGCATAAGTAAAATAATATGATTTCACTGATACTGGACAGTCTGATCAAATGGACATATTTTTTTAAGAATGATCATTAAAAACAAAGATCAAATTTTTACTTAGTTAATCAGGTTTTACGAGTCGAAAGGAAGGCTACGATTTGATATGATTTTTCTATTGACATTCATTACAAACATAGACAAAGGTACTTTACTGAAAATCTTATTATTCTAAAAACAACTTGAAAGTAAACAAGGCATCATTCCCGTATGATATCAGCCAATACTCTTTGCTATCAGCAGCTTATCAAGTGATTAGAAGGAATTACACTAATAAAGATTCAATCTGTATAGATAAATGAAGGTTGATGAATGAATGAAGGTTGGTATATTGCAAAAATGCAGTACATTTACTCCATTGAATCTAAATCCCTAAATTACAGTGAATCCATACCTTTATTCTCTATTAGATCAGTTACTTTTAAAATGGGCGTGGGAAGTAGACTCACAGATACTATAAATATACATAATGAGCATAGAAAGAAATTAAAAATATTTTAACAATTTTGAATTATTCTACGTGGCCATTCACAAGGACTTTCTTTTCAAATTCCTCTCTTTGTTTATACAATTCGGTGACTAAGTCTTTAATAAATGGATGGTCAAACTTCCCTTCAGTAGCTGTGAAAAATTCTTGCAATTTTTTTGGTGAGTTTTCACGTTTCTCATATTCGAAGGCTTGGAGTATCATATCGTAACGGTCGAGATCTTTAGCAAACTTAGCCTCTGGTGAACTTTGGTTTTCATATTCCTGAAATAGTAACAAAGCATATTAAGTGTTATTATTAAGGTTTTAGCATTAAAGTAATCTTACCATAGAGTATAGCATATTTTAATTTTACTTTTAAGTTTTCCCCTAACCCGAATTTTCTAATAATTTAAAAACCTTTCTATAATTTTCTTGCCTAGTACCTACCTATAGTCCACTGATCAAGCCAAGTTCACATTGGCTAGTTGTCTGCTGACTTTCGTAAGAAAAGATTGCATTCTTTGAGAGTTCGACTACCAATAGTTAATAAATTATTATATTTAAAAGTTCATTCAAAGAACTATAAAGGTTTGTTGTCTTTTGTTTACATCCACAACTGTCCTATGAGGTTGTTATTTTCTTTTATTTCGAAAGAACATTTACATTTAAGTAGATAAACCTAAATCTAAAAAATTGTACAAATGTAAATTGCTTAAATTTTTTCCTCCACCCTTACTACACTTTTACCTTCGTTACGTCAGTATTTTCTTGGCGCGAATGGACTATACTATAGCTATTAACGGACTATTAGTTTTATTTTGGAATAAAAATTTAGAAGACCCTTTTTTTACTTTTTGTTAAGTAATGTGCTACAAAGAACAAGCATTTCATTTTTATTTATGCATACTTTTTAGATATTTTGAAGCCCTTGTTAGAAGTTTCGACATAGTGCGTGGCTACACTAAGTTCGATTTATCGTCTCAGAATTATATTGCTTAGGTGCTTTGTCCCAGGTACCTTGCACCTCACCATTAACTGCTCAATACCGGTAAATGTAAGTAGATCTTGTGTATGCACTTGTTATATTTTTACTACATTTCATTTTACTACTATAACTAAAAAAAACAGTGCAATTTTTATATATCTTATCTTACCCTACCTATCAATACCTAGTGATACTAGTTATCATGTATTGGGTACCGTTCTTCCCGATTGCTACAGGTTTGTAATAACTGACAAGATTTTTTTTTGGTATTAAGAGGCAAACAAGCAGACAGGTCACTTGATAGTAAGTGATTACTGTGGACACCTGATAAGTGTAATGCAAAGAAAGAAATAGTTAACACAGGTGTACTGTACGGCTGTGAATGGTCTCTGGGCAAGCAGGCCTATGCGTGCCATAGCATGTCTTCCCATGTTTACCAAATAATCAACTAATATTCTATGTCAAAAGATGTTAAGCTACTGCAAAATCCACAAAAAAGACATCTTACTTTGTACAAATCATACATCCTATCCCCAGCTATTCCAGTTAACCCTGCAATTTTCTGCATTGCTTCATCTTCTTGTCTATGCTTCTCTTCAGGCGATACACCACAATGTGGGGTTAAATCTCCAACAATGCATTCAGCTAAGTCATGCACGAGAGCTGAAAAAATATTTCAATGATGGTTTGTAAAAATTGTCTATTGGAGTGTTCATTATTTATTAATTGTTAACAGACAACAACAGATTTGATGCTATATGCATAGTCTTTAACCTCTAACTGTGAGGTATTAGTTCTAGCAATAGCCTTTTTTGTCTTTGTCTAAAGTAAATTAATAAAAAATTGAATAATCCTGCCTAGCGCTTTCACAAGATAATAATAAATGGTGCAATTCAAGGCTAGTTATATTTGAAGAAAAAGCTAGACGCTTGCATGATAAGCATTAAATTGAGTATTTAGATAATTACATTTATTGTGTTCCATAATGTAAATAAATGGTCTTAAAAATATAAAAATACAGAATCATTATGGACCCTGTCGGATACAGTAAAAGGTTTACAAGATTATACAAGGTTGAAAAGAAAAGTGCACAAAGTTGTATAAAAAAATTAAAGCATTGTAGTTGTAATTAATATCAACTATCAATAGTTATGACTTGTTTATTTATATATATAAATACAAAATTGAAAAAAGCAACAATAAGACACTGATTACTTCTGGTCTTTTTTTCATACATCCAGTTAAACAAAAAGAATCCAAACTTACAAATGTAAAAAGCCTTGGAATGGTTTAAAAGGATGTAGAAATTACAACTTGTTTTATTTTTCAGCCTGGACAAAGAAAATAATTATTTTCCTGTGTTTTATTATCATACGAGTTGGCAGAAGGGTTTTCATACTTCATGTCATTAAAGTAAAGCTTATATATTTTCATAATAAATTAACCCCGACATGGTATTACAGTAAATATCAAAATTCACTAGATCAAAATAGTTATGAGTGAATGAATGCTTGAATTATTTTGTTCCACTAGTATATTAGCTACAGATATTAATGGATAGTATTTGTAACAAAAAATTTACCTATTTGAAGACATCTAAATCTGTCCAGTTTTGTAGGGTTGTTTTCTTCAGTGAGCAAAAATGTCATAAGTCCCATACGGTACATGTGCCCAGCAATAGATTCACACTCATTAATATCACAAAGAATCCAGCCAGTCCTCTTTACATGCTAAAAAAGGAATTTCAAATTATAATCTGCTTAAAATCTAATTTGTAAAGGTCCAGGCCTGAAAATACTCTAAATTTTAAAGTGTATCTTCAAGTCTTCTTATATCTACAATGTTGATTAAGTATGTGAACTCATCCTGATGAACCTATGGATGAAAAGCAGTGCCATAGGTTAGTAAAAGCATATTAAGTTTTTATCATACACATTAACAATAACTAATTTACAAATAAGGGAACTGTGTATTTACTGTAATAATGTTTTTCATTATTGATTGTAACGTTGAGGTTATATGTGCTATTGATTGTGTTTAGAAACAGGAAACGAGGGGAATAACTCGATTTCAATTTTTAATGAAAGCACTGATAAAATAATTTAGTTATTGCCTGTATTAACTAATATTTACATACATAATTACATATACCACAGAACAATATCTAGTTTAATTATTTAAATACAAAAATTTAAATTACCTTCAAGCGGCCTACTAATTCCAAAAATTCCAATATTTTACTATTTTCAAGAACTAAGGCCATTTTGGTTTGTTAGATACAATTTCTTCCTTGAAATAATATATTGAGTGGTTGTTACAGGTATCCTAAACTTTTTACGATGTAAATATCAATTAGTTATAATAATATTTAACGTAGTCAAATATAGTTTAACTCGAGAGAAAAAGCGCGAAGTACGATCTCAAATACGTGACGTTACGATCTAAAATGAAATTGTAATGAAAATTGAAAACCTTTTGTCAAACGTTTGACAGTTAATGGATTGTCAAAGTTTGACGGATAATTGAATACTAAAAAATCTAAAAGCTACTAAATAAGTTAAGTACTTAGTAATTAAGTATTTAAGTTTTTTTTAATTTTACAATGATCATTTTTAAGAATTATATATATATATATATATATATATATGCGAAAGTTGTAGGTCGTGTTAGAGAGCACATGAATACTAAATATTCATCGTGTTTTAGGGTTAGATATGTAAGTGACCTGACCTGACTTCATACATACATCGTCAAAAATTTATAATAAAAGTGAAAATAATTACTGCCTGTCCGAATTTGATAAAGGCTGCAATCATATATTTTAAACTTTGACATCAACACAATTCATCCACCAAATTTTGATATTTTACCAAATTTTTAACATAAACTTACTTTGTTTCTTAATTTTATTTATTAATATTTTTTATCGCCACTATTTATTTACTTGCCGGTTTTTTCTGAGTACTAACTACATTGACAATGACATTGTTGTCACAGGTATTGTTTGCAATTCAAAAAATTTAATTAAATCATATTATTCTTTCGAATCAGTCAGTTTTAGTACCTAATATATCTTTAGTACCTAATATAATCTTGTTAGATGCAAGTGTTTTGGCGCCGGGAAACATTTAAATGGAACTTACTGCATTTCTTATTTTCAAATAGAATTTCTATCCTAAACATTGTTATTTGCATTAAATAAATGGTTCCCTACAATAAAATAAAAGCTGGGTAAAAACATATGCATGTAGAAAAATATGTAAACAGTGAGCAAGATGAAAGTTATTCAGCGACCTCTGCGCAGGCGCCTGCAGTAGCTGGCCCGTTTCCGTGCCCGGAGGTTCGGGAGAGCTCTAAGCCTCTTCAGGTCCCGGTCCACCCTCTTCTTCTCGAGCATAACTTGCTTGCAGAAGGAGGTGGCGGAATGCCAAGCGCCATTGCTACGTAATATGGCTGCAATCATTCCGCCGGGCATTCGAGCAGCGTTTGCAGCGCCGTGCTCAGGCTGTGGCCACCGCAATGGTGGCACCCAGGCATTGGTTCCTTGCGGATCAGGCACTGGTGATCTCCTGCGTTAATCCGTATGAGAGGGTCCCGTGTTTCCTCCCGAGCCAATCCTACATGAAGACCTAGTAGAGTTGGGATTTCTGGTCCTCGATTTCTCGAGTCTCACGTACCCGACTCAATATGAGCCCCAGATACCGCATCGAAGGCTCAACGTTGTACACCGCGGAGCACCTAGTCGTAGCCGATAGCCACTCATTTCCGCCTCTAAATCTCATGGCAGAGATGCGCCAGCACCCTCTGAGAGTTAGCACAATCAGAGCGCGCCTTATTCTCGGCGATCAGAGCTTCCGGACACACCGTGGCACAATATAGTGCCGTTGACTGGACAGCCCTGGTCTATTACTATAACTTTTAGAGTAATCTCCACTACAGCTGCTGTGGTAGCAACTGCTTTTTATGTAAACGTACTAGACTCAATCTTCGTAGGTATCAGAAAAAAAAAGCAAAGAAGTAGTGGGTTTGAGCACAGCGCCTGCTCGATTTTTATGGGAACACACGAGGACATTATAGTGACCGTTAATAGTTATAAGGACCTTTCCTTTTATGTTAACTTTTTTTGCTGTCGGTTAACACACAATCTGTTTGAACATCGCTCAATACACGGCTTTTAAGTACTTCTAAAGTTTCCCTTAAAAATACCACATTTCCCGAACAAACTGGTCCTTCGAGTAGGATAGTGAAGAATACGAATAGGATAAATAGTAATTATTGGGATTATCAATATTGTAGAGTTAGCCGTGCAGCTATAAGCCCGGTACTGGTGTGGTCAAAGGGTATTACGGTTTCAAGAATATTTAATATAAAATATCATAACCCAACACTCGATCAGGTATTATTTAACCATAATGAAGGAATATCAAAGGTTATTGTTTTAATTACCTGGTATATATTTTATATAGTTTCACCTACTTGCATTATGAATAGTTCTTGTGTCATCATTCCCTTGGTGTTAGTTATTTTACAAATACGATTATACGTACTTATTTATTTTAGTACAGTAGATATTAATGCTACATTTATAATTGTATAAGTTTTTCGTTAACTATTTACATTAAGTAGTTGTGCATAATTATGTAGGTATTGTTGAAATCATCAAGTGTGTTGATTATGTTAGATAAAATATATATTCTGTTAATTAAATTGTATTTTTGTACTTAATCAATATTAACAGTTGCTGTATTGTATTAAATTTTAGGTTAGGTAATTTAGTGGCTAGATTAGAGGATTAAATTGCATATAAAATAAAATAAAATTAGTTAGTGTATTTACATTAATTATTTATATACAGTAATTAGGTACATTTTTAAACATTTTAGCAGTACGCAAGTAGGTACCTTGATAAAAAGTTATTTTAGAAGTTATATACACTTAAATTGTTATCATACAAATTTGAGGTCGAACATCACTTGGTTCTCAATATGTCCGAAGAAAAAGAACTGATTAAAAAGCGAGCAAGCTTCAAGGGTCGCGTAACAATTTTTACTACCTTAAAACATTACAAGATAAGCCGTTGGATAGTTGTGAAGGCAGGGAATTGCAAATACGGATATGAAGATTGAGGCCTTGTATGAGCGATACGATGAGGTATTTTTGCAGTTGCGGTTAGAATGTTTAACAGAAGATGTCAAAGCTCAATTCCCTGAGCGTTCAAATTTCGTGTGACTATATTATAGAGCCATGTATCGAGAGCAGGACCTTTTCTGTAAGTACAATGACAAAAACGTTATTAGTGCGGAACCATGTTTCATCCTTGTTTAATATAAACTCTATTCAAAAAGAATCATCGTTACGTTAAAGTGTTTCATTGACCAACTTAATAAGCACCTACTTGCTTTGGACTCTTTAGGTGACCATGTTAAACATTGGGACACTTTATTGATATATTTATTTACGCGTAAATTAGATACTAAAACCTAGTGGGAGGAGCATAAAGGTCTTATCGATAAAGATGTCACTCCGAACTAACGTCATCGCCTATTGACGCCGTAGCTTGGCTGCGGATACCGGTTGGTCTCGAGGCGAGCGTAAGCAACGCGGCGTGTTATTGTCTACCGCTGTTATCAAGATATATGATATAATATGATTATAACGGTCGTGAGTATATAGTGCAAGTTATGCTGGATATCGGTAGCACATCGTGTTTTATGACGGAACGATTATGTAGGCGACTCAAATTAAACACTAAGCAGGTAAATGGTGCGGTCTATGGTAGACAAACTTTCGTAGGATGAGCCGCTAACCCCAACACTTACTGCTACTTGGAATGCTATTGTCAAAGGCTTGCCATTAATAAATAATTTTCGTATACCACGTATTGTTATGTATGAGATTCTTACTATACGCTGGAACTTCATGTATTTCGACCGTGCGTATGGTGCGTGTGTTTATGTACGCAGTGCCAATAATGATGGTGAAAACATGGTGCGTTTGCTGGGTGCTAAAAGTAGAGTGGCGCCAATTAAGTCGACCATGATTCCAAGGTCAGAATTGCGTGGCGCTGTAATAGGAGTTCGTCTATGCGAGAAGGTATTCAATTCCCTACGAGTGAAAATTGATCGTATTTTTTGTTGGACCGACTCCACCGCCGTTATGGGTTGGTTGCAAATCCTTTTAAGGTTCAGCCGTTTGCTCAAAAACGCTGAAGTTTTAGATAAGGCAGGGCACTGCACCGAATTGCATGTCCCAACTAACCAGAACCCTGCAGTCCTAAATGTCGTAACATATATTAGTGATCTGCAATCATTTGACTTGTGGTGGAGTGGGCCCAATTTTGTGACACAAGACCAGTCCAGACCATAGTTAATTTAGCGCTTGTGTTGGTAACAATGACCAACGTGATACATTCATAGAGTTTAATCGATTTTCTAGTTATTTAAGACTGGTTCGTAGTGTAGCAACTGTCTTAAGATTTATTTTAATGTGCCGAAAGATTCCGTTTCCTAATAGATTTCTGTCACAGTCAATTCAATGTTATTATCATAAGAATTACTTATAAATAATCAAAGGTTGTCTTGTAAAAGCGCTCTTATAATAATAATAATAATAAATAAATACATTTAAAATATAATTTAAATGTATATCTAATGTAATAAAGAGAATAATAATAACATTTTCTTGTTAGAAAACACAACGCCATCTGGTTTCAGACTAAGCAGAGCTTGTACTGTGAAAGCTAGATTGACTGATAGAATACTTTTTTTTTTTTTGTAAATACACAAAAAATAATAATAATAATGTAATATTATACACATAAAACGCCCAAACTCGGAAACAAATATTTGTAGATCATACAAATAACTAGTCCGACCCTGGAATCGAACCCGAGACCTCAGCATAGCAGTTGCATAAATTGCCACTGCGCCACCGCGGCAATTTTTTTTTTTTTTTATTAATTATAAAATTTCGTGTATTAGGGTTCTGTACCTCAAAAGGCAAAAAAGCAACCCTTATAAGATCACTGTTTTGTCCATCTGTTCGTGTGTCACCATCGATTTTCTTAGGAACGGGTAGTCCTAGCAAGATGAAATTTATACCAGATACTGAGGTCTATGGTCCCTATTAGGTGTATAAAAATCAAGGTCCTGAGTCAACGCAATAAAACGATATGGGCAAATTTCGATTTTCGTGGAATCTTGCAATCACGAAATTGGGCAAAAGGAAACGTCTTACAGCACAAATAGAGGAATAATGCCAAAACACAAAAAAAAAGTTGAAAATTAAGATATATTTTGGTACTTACAAATTTTCGCGAAAATCTACGTAAAATCTGGGTAGGTATGGAACCCTCGGCGCACGAGTTCGACTGGTGGTTCGAAGCACTGGTGTGGATTATGCTGGCCCCACATCATGGCTGCTTCTAGGCGACAAAACATCATCTTAGGCGAGTGTTGGTAAATTATAACCTAAATTTTGAAAAGCTTAACAAAACGTTAGTTCAGATTTAGGCAAAATTAAATTCCCGTTCAATGACGCTATTTTCTTCAGACCCAGCTGACCGTACACCACTGACTCCAGGTCATTTTCTCGTTGGCCGGCCCCTTACAGCAGTTCTGCAGCAAGATTGAAGGGACTACAAAACAACTTCCTTGTCCCGTTTTCAAAGGATCGAGCAGCTTCGCCAGCCCTTTTCGACTCGCTGAAGCAAGGAGTTTATCTCAGAGCTGCAGCAAAGAACCAAGTGGCATACCTGAAAAGACAAACTAAAGCTGGGCTCCTTGGTTGTTATCAAGAAGGATCATCTCCCTTCTCTCAAATTGAGATTGGGTAGAGTTGTCGCTGTCCATCCAGGTTCGGATGGTACAGTTCGTGTGGCGACTACTACAACTACTACGACGACTACTTACACGGCCACTGGAGTGATTACGAGAGCCTTCAACAGGATCTGCCCGTTGCCCGTTGATGCTACGTGTGGTTGAACGCTGATCTGCTGCTTGAAACGTCCGGGGGAATGTTCGAGCACAGCGTCTGCTCGATTTTTATGACAACACACTAGGACATTATAGTAACCGTTAATAGTTATAAGGACCTTTCCTTTTATGTTAACTTTTCTGCTGTCGGTTAAAACACATTCTGTTCGACCATCGCTCAATACACAGCTTTTAAGTACTTCTGAAGATTTCCTTAAAGAGACCAATTTTCCCCAACAAGTTTAAATTACGTAATATAAATCCTAGATGTCAACCTTTACATTGTGTAAGTATTGATATATTTACTGACACAGTTCTTTTTATGTTAGGCATTTTTTTTGTAACAAAATCTGCGCGCTCGCCCCTTTGTAACCTCGCGCGCCTAGGCACGTGCCTAATTTGCCTTAGGGTTAATCCGCCACTGAATATAATAATAAAATTGTAATAAGTATAATTGAAAATCTAGCCTGAGGCATCTCGGGACCTATACGACCTTTAAACATTCAAGAAAAGAGCGTACTCCCCCTCAAAATCCGCCGTCGCACCTTTGAATCAGTTCATCACCGTTGAGTTGCGGGTGTCAATAGACGGCACGGCGATAGTTACTTACTATCAAGTGACCCACCTTCCCGTTTGCCCACTATACTATAAAAGGGACTTATGTAACGGCACATGGAGAAACATCAAGAATGTGCGGGGACCTAAATGAGAGATTTCACACGAAGGCGCCGCGCTTTTACGGACATGCGATAGGAGGGGTCCGAATGTCTTTATAATACTGTTTCTAATACTGTTTCCAGCTTCCTCCTATTTTAGGCGTAGTATGGCATACAGTGTCATTTTCATCCATTCGGTTGTAATACATGACCCTACCGGTTCAAACACGTGGAATACCTTATTTAGGTCTCTCCCGCCTATAAAACGGCTTCGACCTATAAAGAGGCTTGCTTATAAAACTTTATAACCTGTCAATAAGCCTATGCCTTGGTACGCAAATTATGGTTTTTACGTACTTTACAGCTCTCAATGGTCCCGTTTTTTAAGTTATGAAGATCCAAATCCAATCGAAATATTCTAAAACATTTGATATTTTTAAATGCCAAGCAATGAGTTTTCAGGTTAAGTTATGAAAATAACATAAAATTGGCCACTTTTTACGAGAGTTGAGTACAACATTATGCATACTAGATTAGTCAGAGTGGACATAGGTGTAGTGTATCCTATGACTACAATCTTGCGTTACTATTTCACGCTAAAACGTTTTCCCGTCATTTCGATTAAGTAGGCACGAGTATGATCAATGGTTCGACCAGCGGGTCACACTTTGAATCTTAATAGCCCCCGATACCGCTACGTAAATTTAAATTCAATCTCTGTTTCAAACGGTCAGTGAAAATGTGGGAGCTCTCATTGCCAGTCCTTCAGTTAGATTTAGCTTCAAAATGAGCGTTCTAGTCAGTTTAAAGTTTAACAAAGTTTTATTTGATGTGTGGAAAGTTAGTTTTGCTCTCAGTGATTCCAGTGTTTGTTGGCAGGAAGTGAAGTTGGAATGATTTCGTTGCTCTTTGCTCTTTCTACAGGTTCGTGAGTGATGAATTAATAATTGTATAATACTCGCCTTTTTAAATGTGATATGTTCTATATTACAGTGAATTTTACATAAAGTGCACATTTAGAAGGTACACCCGAAGAAATGATCATATTAAGAGAGAAATACGAAAATATTATAGCTATATAAGGTTGAGACTAAACGCGATGCAGACGCACCGAGTTTAGTTGGTCTCTAAATTTTGAATTTGTTTTGCCCACTATTTTGATTATTTCTTATACTTATGACAGTGCTTGTGTCGAAATACGGATAAAAAAAATGTTTATTGACACGACATAAGTAATTTACATTAGTATTAAAGTTAGGCACAGACTTTGGTTATCCTGTATTTTGGGCGACAGTGTTCAGTCGCACAAAAGGTAAACAGTACTGTTTGTAGATACATAAGGTCGCTGTTTACACTTTATTCGTTATTGCTAATAATTAAGAAAACTTATAATTGCGGGGTAGTAATGTGACAGTCCAGGTGGTGGTTTGTCATGTTTGTGTATGTGTTTATTATATGTGTGTGTGTGTGTGACTGGTCTATGTGTCTGGATGTGTGTGTGTGTGTGTGTGTGTGTTTGTGAGTGTGTGTGTGTGTGTGTGTGTGTGTATTTGCGTGCGTGTATACGTATGTAGGTAAATCGAGATTCGTGAGATTAATGTTACGGATAACGGACATTTGTGATAAATTTTGTACACAGGTTGCGCTTGCGCCTTCCACCGTAATTTTGAAATAATTTTCTGAATTAAAACATAGTTTGAGATACCTACTTCCAGATAAAATACTTACTTATAGGGAGATTATTATCTTATAGTCAGTAGTTTTAGAGTCTACCGACTACAAGCAAGGATATATGTTGCAAGATCTTATGTGATCTTATGATATGTATCTTAATAAAATGACTTTTTTTTGCTATGTGTGGACATAGCAAAAAAAAGTCATTTTATTAAGATACGCCAAGTTAAGGAGGATCACAGAGTAAAAATGCTAGTGTCAATTAGTGTATAATCTAATAATTTTAAACAAGCAGTTCTTGTGTACATGTAGGGGAGAGTTGGGTATATTGTACTGCCTGATAATTTGTACCACCTCAAAATTTCCTACTAAATGTCATTATTTTTCTTTCCTGGCAACGTTTTCGTTTTATCGTTTTCGTTTATAGCGTTCGACAGGTGCATTGTGTTCGAGAAAAAAAACTACCAGTACTATCAGTACTTATCCCTTACCCGACGAGATGTGTTTTTTTCAGATGGACTGTGAACAAAGAAAATATTATAAATGGAATAAAGACGACTTGGTAAGGGCATTGACGGCTAATGATAAGAAGGAGATGAGTTTGAACCTGATATCTGCAACATATTCTGTTCCAAAGCCTACTATTTTACATCATGTCAGAAAACAAAATAAGATTACTAACGATTTAACTGTGCATAAAGGAAGAACTACTTTCGATTTGGAATTAGAAAATATTTTGGTCAAACACATCCTAGACTTAGACACTAGACTAGAATTGGTTTGGATTGACTATCAGTGACGTCCGAAAATTGGCTTTTGATGTAGCAGAAAAACGTAACATTTCACACAAATTTAATAAAAACAGAAAAATGGCTGGCAAAGCTTGGTTTTACGATTTTAAAAGATGTCACCCAAAAATGAGCGTAAAACAGCCTGAAAGCACCATCCATAAATAGAGTAAAAGGCTTCAATAAAGAAAATGTTTACGGTTTCTATGATCTGTTAGAAAAGATAATTGATGAGAATGGCCTAACAGCTGTTACATTTAATGTCGATGAAAGCGGATTTTCAACGGTTCAAAAGAGACCACAAAAAGTAGTAGACAAAAAACAAGTTGGCGCAGTTACAAGTGGAGAGAGGGGAGTTAATACAACTGTAGTATGCTGTTTTAGGGCCGCGGGACAATTTGTGCCACCAATGATAATTTTTAAAAGGATAAGACAAAATCTAGAGTTGCGCAATGGCGCGCCTGCGGGTAGTGTTGTTACTATTTCAGAATCTTTCTACATAAATTCTACATTGTTTGTTGAATGGATTAAGCATTTTATTAGTGTAGTCAAACCATGTCCTACAAACAAAGTTTTACAAGATTTTTAGAGTGTGTTGTTTGACAACAAAACAATCAATGTTTGTTCACACAAAACAATCTAAAAATTTCATTATGCTACAACTGCCTGGACGCACTACTCATCAGCTTCAACCGCTAGACGTTTCATTCTTTAAGCCAATGGGTACATTTTGCATACATCTGTGGAAAAATGGCTAAGGACAAATCCTGGTCGCCTAGTTACTCAGTACTAGGTAGCAGGCAGCAGGTTTATTTGCCTATGGACGAGCTGCTGTGGTTAGTACTATTTCTAATGGATCTAGGACAGCTGGTATGTGGCCACTTAACAGAAATGTCTTCCCAGAGCATTTGTTAGAAACAGCTGATAATATGGATGCTGATAGTTCTAAAACACTAAGCAATAAAAGCACATCGATCTTGCAGGATTTTACGATTTTTGTTGAAAATAATGATCAAAAAAAGATAGAGGAAGATAAAACCAGACCGAAATATGTGCCTAAGGGACTGGAGACAAAATTATTAAAGGAAACAAAACTCTCCAACGTTAACACACTACTAAACCAGTAACCAAACTGAATCTTGGAAACGGCTCCAACGATTTTCATGAAATTTAGTATGCAGGGGGTTTTGGGGACGATTAATCGATCTAGCTAGGTTTTATTTTTTGGAACATTTACCAAAAAAAAAAAAATACAGAGCAAAGCTCATCCAGGTACTATAACATTAAAACATCAGCCGTGGTCGGTCGTTGTCCACCAGGCATGTTCTTCTCCCTTTATGCTGTATGGACATTAGACCCGTTCATCTACAAATCTTTCTTCTGCGTAGATGAATCAGGATATAGGGCAAGTAGTTTTGTATGTAGTTAGTCAAGGGTCATAAATGCAGTATCATCGTAATGTTCGCATTTGCTTGCGCCGGCGCCTGTGCCTATCTCTCTGTGTGTGATATTTCAATGCACACACACATTATAACTAGACAATACTAACGTATACGAAAGTTGTTGATTAGTCACATGTATGTGTACACAACACTAGATAAAATACACCTACTTGTAGGTTTTCTTCGTATCGAAATCGGTGGTAGTGTGGCGAGTAGGCGAGTACCCCAATGCGTTAGGACGTAGCACTATTACTTTCTATTGTACTACCAGAGCGCACGCAATATGGTAAACGCACATCTTTTGTTTCCATATTCAGAAAGTGCCAGGACCGAATCTTTACTATTATTAATTGTTTTTGTATATAAATACTGGCATTGTATTAAAAATTATTCTACCTTCTGTTATCACCTTGGTACAAATAAGGGATTGATTACTTCGTTGTTTGAGCTCTTTAATTACTAGTAGTTAAGCAAGTCTTATCCGCTTAGCTTATAGTGATTTAGGATAATCGACTCATTAATAGTCGAGTGGTTAACACGTTCAACGACACTGGGACTGGTGTGGGATCGATTCCAACCTATTTCGCTTCGCTAGTGCGAGTTCGATTCCAAGATATCACATTCACAGTTGCATCTATCTGAAAGCGATGCTAAAATTCATATGATTAGTCATTAAATCTAGTGGCAGAATCATGCGATTAACGAATTATACTGTATAATTGATCATTGTTCGAGGGTAGTGACGATTCGATCCCTAGTGTATGTTGACTTTTTGGTATTTTTGTTTTCATGACGGGATATTTTTTTTATAAATTCTGTTCCTTTAAAATGACTAGTTTACGGAAGAAAAAGGGTATAATATGTAATAATAAAAAAGTTATTATTTTTCATAAGATCATTTATTTATACCATTATTTACCTTTAAAACTAAAAAAACTGAAAATAAAAAAAATGGAGTATAATATTTTCGTAAACCATTTTGATTGTTTATACAATTCGTTGTTATTATTTTATAGAGGTTTATAGCTTAATTTGTTTATTTCCTCAATGAAAACAAGATTGAAACTTAACCTCCATATTACAATAAACTAACTTATTACTATCACAGCCAGCACATCCCGTAAATTGCCCTGAGATAAAGGTATCTATTGAAATATAACCTTAAGAAAAAATTGTGTGACCTCAATTGTTATTGACTAACTAAAAAGACGAGTGGCTATGGAATAACCTTAATATCCGATTGTTGACGGAACCATTAACAAACAACTAGCTCCTCGACATAATTGGGATCTAGTTGGTATGAAACCATTTGTTTCATATTTGTCAACCATATACCGCTGGGACTGATTAATAAGTAGCGGTTAGTGAAGCTTTTCACTTAACGTATCATAGCTTTTCTCTAAAAAAAAAATACTTATTACATATTTTGGCCCAACACTTAGAAGATTATAAAATAAAATAATACACCGCAGTCACTGCCGGATTAAGACTTAAAACAGAAATTCTATCAAAGAGCCCTTTAGTTCTTTTAGGTCATCTATTTTATGGTATTCATCATCATCATCAACAGCTTATACTAGTCTAGTCTAGTTTGTGTATGTGTGTGTAAGATAGGTTTATAGAAGAAGGTCCTAAGTCCAACTAGTTATAATGCTATAACTTCGTAAAAGTGCTACTGGACTCATGGTCGCGACCGTACCTATAGACAAACATATATTATAATAGTATCAACTAGTAGTTAGGTAGTTACTTTATGAGTAACAAAACTTAATTCAAATAAGACCCGTGACATTCTGTAGCTTCAAGTTTCTCACATACATTCACACTCCTTCCTTCCTAACTTCCCTCCAACGTACGAGTACTCGTTTCAGTGAGTTTTCTTAGACCAAAAGTACCCGCGTATCTCAATCACAACCGGATATTACAGAAAATAAAAGTTATGATTAAAGATAGCTATTTCAAAGCCAAAACCTCCTTTCTAAGGAGAGGCTTAGGTCCAGAAGTGGACTGTTAAAGGCGGTTCATGATGATGATTTCTAATGCCTGATGATTCAATAACTACTTTAAAATATTTTAAGTAAAAAAGAAGGAAATTGTAATATTAATAAATTTTTTTTTTATAAATAGAGTTAAGACCAGAGTGAGTTTTGTTTTAGCAATAGCTTGTGTATCGACATCTGTTCGAAAAGTTCATTAGTGATGACAATATCCTCCCTTCATACGGTTTAGCTCTCATTTGCTGCTATGATCACCATGGACGCAAACCATTAATCATACCCGGTATTCTTACTTATTTTAACCGGTGTCACGCAATTCTTTTATTGCTTTTTAACGAATGAAGGAGGTTACCAGAGGTCCGTCCACCACAGTGGGGGGTGGGGGACATTCACTGGGCTAACTGGGCTAACTGGGCTAGCTCTTGAGTTGGTGTGTGCACTTTCCATCAGGTGACCAGTTTGCTCGTTTGCCTCCAAAAATAAAATATATATTTTGAAACAATATAATGAGTTCATTCGTAACGTGAACAGTTGATGTATGAGTAGGTAACTGGTGTAGTTAACTCTCCACATGAATAGAATGACGTTAAGGAATTGTACGGGACCTATTGTGGTTGCATAAATCTAACAGTGTTGTTTTTATTTTTGCTTAATAACAACCTCCGATTAGATACATTGCCCTCCGATCCCAAATTTGTATTAGACTACCTTTAAAAATACTTTATCATCATCAAATCAAACAGCCTTTAGTAGTCCACTGGCTATACATAGGCCTCTCCTTAGAAAGGAGGTTTTGGCCTACTATACCAGGCTGGCCAGACTGGTTGGCATAGGGGTGACAGTTCGAAGGGTTTCCACACGTAAAAAAATAAATAAAAAAAGGGTTTACATCAAGTTTTCCTTCTCTTTGCAGTGCTGTTGTCCTGCGTAGTTTGCTCCCTTGGTAGGCTCTTACGACTCCAACGGGATCAATAGGGGTGGTGACATTCCGTTTTCTTAATCCGTCACCACACGGACATGCAATTACAATCGTTAAATGGAAATAATAATCGAAACTAATACATGTCGTATTAGTTTCGATTATTATTTAGTTAATACAAAACTGGACTATATTTGGCAAATTATCAAGAATTTTAACTGTTACATTTTGCGTTGCTGTTGAACGTTCGTTCGGTGACGGATTAAGAATACAAACTCTATATCAACCCGTCTGGCCAGCGTGGTATAGTAGGCCAAAACCTCCTATCTAAGGAGAGGCCTATGTCCGGCAGTGGACTATTCTAGGCTGTTGATGATGATGATGATGATTGTAAAAGTTTTAAATGATGAAAACACAATTACAATTATTATTTTATTGAGTAAATTGAACAGACTCAGTGACTTAAATAGCTATACGAGTTATTTTGTTGAAGGGTCCCTGGAGTTCCGTGGATTGGTAAAAGCAACATGAACGTTCCGTCTCTAAATCAAACAATGAATATTAAACGTTTGGTGCTATTGAACTTTCACAGTGTTTGTGACGTAAATGTTGAAGCACTCATTGAATGTTAAAGTGAAGATAACAATCTATCCTTTGGCCCTCTAGAGAAAGGCTGTCAGACTTCCATAATACTATGAAGAAATTCGTTGCAGTTTTGAATTATTAATTAGACGTACTTTAACACTATTTAGTAGTCATAACATTTTTTTAAACGAATTGAGCATATTAAAGAAGTGTATAATCGAAGAGTCAAATACTTTCATTTCAGTTGTTGGTGTACATATTAAGTCTAGCAGCAATCTCGTGTAACCTGGTGTAAATATAGACAATAAAAGATCCCATTTATATATACAACACATATACAGTGTTAACCTTCTGTACCTAACTGCTGTTACTATAGTTATTCTTCTATTTAAAATTCAATAACTCATTATTGAAAATATCTGTTTAGTAGGCGTCTTTCAGCGCAGCAATGACATACCGTGTCTTTACGATCCCTAAAAAAACCGCCAGCTTTGAGCCATTTATTCATTTTGATTTGCAACTTAGCCTATAAGTAAGCGATACAGTAAGAAACGACTAGACGACAAAAACACTAGAAAATGGCCAAGACCTCAATGGAAAGCTTTTCAAAGCCTAGAGAATTATACACAACGATAATTTCATAGTTTGCGTCGAGACTATATCGATATCCTGCATTTGAACAGGCTGTTAAGGCTCAACAGCACCTGAGTTGCGGCCTCAATCAGATTCGTTTCGCATAGATAAATGTTGAAAAAGAAACCTGTGTCTGCTTACTCAATTGATATTAGAGAAGTAAATTCCTACTCGTATATTAACCGTTGGGCCGTAGTCCATATCATCTCGTCTTTGAGTTAGAGGGACATACCACTTATTTCTCCACGAATCTTAACGGTGAAAGGTCTAATTGGTTCAAATAACATGTAACGATATTAACAATAATAAAGAAAAAGCACTTTTTCGCTTGCTACGTAGTTCATCATGAAAAATACATGGCCGTAGGTATTTTCGTAGAACTTTGTTCATATTAGTACTCCACCATGAGTCTATTAATATTCGTACCAGTTTGATATTAGAAAGATACGTGCAACGTTGAAGCCACTCGAATACCGTTCTTAGGCATTTGGGATAAAAGACAAGGTATACAGACTGTTGTAGTGCTCATGATAAAAAAACATAAGACTTAATAAATAAAACTGTTTAATTTAAATTTTCCATCCCAAATGTATAGTAAAAATCGATTCCATCCGGGTTGACTTTTCAGGGGTATCCTGCAGACCATTGATTTTTAGGAGTCATTATGCTCTCGAGGATCCTTGCCTATTTAAGATAATGAGAAAATGCACGGTTTAAAAATAAGAGTGTTTAAAAAAAGTCAGATTAAAGTGTTTTGCAATTATGGAGATCGTTCTTTATACTGACTATTTTTGCAAAACAAATAAAGTTGCTTGAGCGATTTTTGGCGGAGTTAAGGAGCTTTTATATACACTGGCTAAAGTGTACATACACTGCCAGCATTGTATAATGTGTAAACTTACATTGAAAGTATAAGTAAAGTATAAGTGAAGAGAGGATATATGCACAATAAGAGAAAGTCGTGTGTACGTAAAAATTTAAGAAATTTCAAATATACAACTAAATATTATATGCAGAAATAAATTTATAATCAGAATAACTAAAGACAATATAAATAAACTATCTGCGTCCATTCTTAAATATTTACATTGTAATGAGAAAAATATTGTGAAACCACTGAACCGATTAAAAAAAAATACCAAAGGAAAGCTACATTATCTTTTTATCGCAAAAACCAAAGTACGCGCGGGCGGAGCCGCTGGCAAATGGTAGTATAGATTAAAGGGCTTTCATTATTTGTCGCTACGATTCTCATTATAAGAAAATAACTACATTCCTATACTTAAGTGTTTTTTTACCAACAGTAGTGTCGGCGGTGGACTGGGATGCGCCGACGCCATACGACCCAGTATGGCTAGCTAGCGTGCAAATGTACCCGCCGGCCGCAGCGATCAACGAGACCAGGTTTTGGTCGTGGGCTTGGGTTTACGACTCAGATGTGGAGTTCAGGCTTTTTACCAGGTAAACCTTCTCAATGTATATTTATTAGGTCATAATAGTATACTGTGTTAGTTAAATTAAGTTTTAAATAAGAATGACGAAAAGAGGTTTTTGCTGTTAGAGGTTTTTTACTAATAATCGTTGTTAGTATCATATGTTCGGATTATATACTACTCTGTCAAGAAAGTACCGGGAAAAGATCAATAATACACAAAAAGTTTGTTATTCATCCAATTTTTTTTATCACCTTCAAAGTATGCTCCTTCAGAAACGATACAATTACGCCAATGAGTATCCAATCAGCAAAACATTTTTTTAAAGCTGTTTCCGGACGTGAGTTCAGTTCTCGCCGCGAATTCTCCTTTATGTCTTCTACCGATTGAAAACGGGTGCCACGAAGTGGTAGTTTGAGTTTAGGAAAAAGAAAGAAGTCGGCTGGAGCCATGTCTGGTGAATATGGTGGTTGCTGAATGGTATTTGTTGATTGTTTGGTCAAAAATTCGTTCACAATGATGACCTTGTGCGAAGGCGCGTTATCGCGGTGCAAAATCCAAGAATTTTCTTTCCACAAATCTGGCCTTTTTCGTCGAATTTGCTCTCTTAAATGCCGCACAACGCTCAAATAATATTCTTTATTTACCGAATTCCGAGTGCACAACACCGCGATAGTCAAAGAAAACAATCAACATGACTTTGACTTTTGATCGACTTTGGAATGTATTTTTCGGTTTCGGTTCAGTTGGAAGGCGCCACTCCGAAGCTTGTTGACTAGTTTGCATGTGAAACTCGTAGACCCACGTCTCGTCACCAGTAAAAATGCGTTTCATGAATGTTTGGTCGGAATTGACTCGTTCTACCATGTCCTTAGCGACTCTCATGCGATTGAGTTTTTGTAGAAAATTCAGGTCTTTTGGGACTAGCCGAGCGGTAACATTTTTCATACCCAAATGATTAGTTAAAATGGTACGGATCGACTTGTAAGATACAAAAAGTTCGGCGGCTATCTTTCTCAAAGTTGAATGAGGATTTTCAGTCACTATTTCCTTCACTTTTGCGATGTTAACTTCAGTTGCAGACGTTGATGGCCTACCAGAGCGAGAAAAAACTTCCATCACATCTCGACTGCTTTTGAACGGTTTGTATCCCTCATAAGCACGTGTTTTTAATAAGCCTTCTGTAACATTTTCAGTGACTCCGAACACGAAATTCCATTGGCGATGCAAAATTTAAGACAAACCCTTTGTTCGATATTTTTGTCCATTATGAAATTCGCAATACAGACTAGATATGATATAAGTAAAAACAGCACTGTATTTAATATAAATAACAGATGAAAATCAAACTTCTCGCCAAAATGGAAAACAGTTGTGCCATTCTAACAACAACAAAAAAAAAAAAACAAAAATTTGAATTTGGAACCATAAACAAATCATCCATTCCCGATACTTTTTTGACTGAATGTATATACTATTATATATATATATATATATATATATATATACTATAATAATTCCCGCCCTTTTCTATTTTTCTGGGGTCACCGCATGTTCAACATTGGAAACGGTTTTTGTCGAATTCCTTTTTATGGTGGGTCACCTTCCTGACACCACCTCTGACTGACTGATTAGATAAATTAGATTGAAGGATTAGACGATAAATAGTTTTACACAATTTAATGTGACATTTAACTTGTTCTCTAACTTGAACTGCTTTGTTTCTGAGATTTGTCTAATTATTTAAAATACATCATATTATTAATTTCAAACTTATTGTCATATACTAATCAAGATAAAATATTCGGTTCTAAAATCAGACATTTGAGAAACTTCTGCTATCGAAAAACTAAATAACGTTGAGTGATACAATAAATACTATTACTGAGTTGTTTCTATCATTATTTTGTTTTTACCGTCCTTAAAAAATGCAATATAATGAATACTGACAGTACCGTTTCTGTTAAAATAATTAACTATTAACACCATTCCTTTATGGAGATTTATTTTGTGATTGGAAATGTTATCCGTGAGTCAGGCTTTAAATATTTAATGAGAAGTCAGCGCAGAGAAATGGGGTTAAGGTGACGTCCGCAATCGATGGTCTAGTTGGCTTTTAGCCTGCATTAGTTAGTAAAATATGCAAACGTACAGATTATTCATAATTAGGTATTCTACAATTGGTTTGGCTATTAAGTGGCAATTTTTATGAAACAAATATTGTAGGTTTTTATCATTATTGTTACTTTGTCATTTTGTCATGAGTCCAACTTATACCATTTCTAATCTTTTGCAGCACACTCGTACTAAGATTATAGGCTATGAGACACTTATTTAGATATAGATATATTTCCATTGGTTGTAGTTATTGTGTCTGCATCATATGCAACTCAAGATTGATAATTGTGGACGCAAGAGCATAGAGGATTTTCTTCTGCCTCTTACTAGATCAGCCTGCCATGTCTACGCCCAATTTTAGGTTGAATATGTTTCTACACGTGTGTTCAGTTTTATACGGTATTACTATAGCCTTTTATCAATGGTTTCATGTTATTTTGATCATTGTAGTGGTCTTTCATCCTTTAATTACCATTGACCTGTATAGGCGTTATGATAAGTGCTTAATAAATGACATAAAGAATATTTTGTTATACATTTTAGTATAAATAAGTGTTGAGGGTGTAATATTCTTATAAATTAGAGAAACAAATCAAATGCGAATCTAAGAATCATGAGCGTGGCGCATAACTAAATTTGGTAAGCGGTTCATATTATACTCTCTATGAGATCACTGTTTGAAAAGTATGCATAGAATGCGTACTTGAACTTGGTGTGCGTAAGATATTGTGTAGTAAGATGTTAAGTAATTATTGCTCATTGTTGTAAAACTGAATACTATGTCAATAATTACTGGTGATAAGTTCTTTTGAATTAGCATTCAATCACAGCAAGTACGTTAAGGATATTTGATGCATTCGAGTGAAATAAAGTTATTAAAAGTAACATAATTATTTTGCACGTGGTCATTTTGTTGAAGTAGGTATAGAATACCACAAAGAGGTAAGCATGGCCTGTGTTTTGTCCACTAAAATGACCTTGATGTCCAGTTTACAAAAGTAATAGTTTATCGGTGGAATCTTAAACCAGCTAGGTATGTCTTTGATAAATCATTTCATTGCAAACTATTGGCAACTTGCCAAATTAATACGTTGTGCGATATAATCGATTTTTTATCATGGCCATCCATTGCCACACACATGACGTTTGCTTGCAAATATTATTATGTAGATACTCGTACCTTCATGCGACAGATTACAAAGCACCTAATTATGTTATAAAAGGAAAGCGCAATGGCTTGTGCTTCTTTAAAATTCACAATACATAGTTCTAAAACATATTTCAGATTGTTGTAAGTTGAAATAAAGCTAAAATGAAGTCAACGGTCTAGGGTGACTTACTGTTTTCACATATGAGCATGAAAGCATGAATTTGTATGCTAAAGTACAAGTGCAACATGTTTTTGTATAAAATAAATCAAAAACAGCGTTGGACCGAAGACACTTCCTTGAGGAATCCCGTGTGTATTGTGCTTTCTGTTCTTCTTTTTAAGTCAATTCTGAGACGGAATTGCTAACGAGCCATTTTCATAATGTATTTAATCGATAAAAATTAGTTGTTGCATTTGAAGTGAAAAAAGACATACCTGAGACTTGCGGAATATAATTCTGTAGCTCCAATACACCGGAGCAAGCGAATAATATTTTCGTATCACTAGAATCAACCATAAGCATTAAGATCATTTTTTTAACGGAGTGAAGTGAGGCATGGAGTTCAATTTAGATTTATGTCGTTCAGACGTGGCGAAGTCTACATAAAGCGCATCTCGCGAATATCTTCCAAAATAGCAAAGACAATAAAAGGATATTACTAGTTTAGGATCGAATCTAAATAATACCTATTATGTAACGAGCTTGCTGCAGTTAAGGAATTTCAAGCCAGTTTCGTGCCACATAAACTTGGGTTTAGTGAGTAGGTATGTTAGTTGAGTCCCTAACGGCAATCTCTAGGGCTTAGGAAAATAGTGAATGGTCTAGTATGCAAGTCTAAGACTTCCACTGAGAGAAACTCCAAAAGAGTGGACAGCTAACAGTTCCTCTTTGGAGATACATGAAGAAAACTTATCTTTACAATCGGGTGGAAATGAGAATCTTGCTTGAGTTCTCATAGATAACAGGATCTTCGTAAAACGCAGTCTATAGAGATGTAGTCAACTTAACAGGTGATAGTGAATGATTGACGAAAATGAACAGCGAGAATAAATGAAGATAAACAGTTATTTTTTGAGAGAGAAATAATAAGGGACTTGCCTAAAGGGAATCAAGATTTTACAAGCAGCCTATCCTCCATCTCTAAAATAATAGAGAAGCTTCTAAATAATAGACTATTGGGTTACCTAGAGAAATTTTCGAGAATTTGACCCCCAAACTTTTAAAAAACTATTATTATTATTATTAATATAGTGTAAGAATATGTTTGTTGGTTATATTTTTGTGTGAAGTAGAATTTCTATTTTACGACATATAAACTACCATAGACAGCCCTACAGCTGTCTACGTGTACAAAGTCGGGGTCACATAAAGTATCAAATATTTTAATTGTTTTTTTTTTATAAAATCGGAATTAGGTGATGTTTTATACATTTCAAGAATGCGTTGTTTCTGTGCGCTTTCTAACGATTACGTTAGAAAGCGCATCGCAAGCAATGCATTCTTTCATTCAGTCATCACATTAATTTAATTTCGTTAGAAAGTTCACTCATACATATTGTGTACAGCTAATTTGTATGAACTCTATAATTTACGTTAATGAATTCTGAGATATGTAAAATGCAATAAATAGTCTGCCCGTTTTCTAACAAATTTCCTTGAAAATCATAATAATTTAATCCTAAAACTGAGGTGAAAAGATGATTTTTATCCTTGAGTGTTAAGAAAAACAAGTGATGTACTTGAGTAGACCACTTAGAGGAACGAACGTACGTAAAAACAGTAATATTTATGAAAATATATAATAATCCACGTTAATATTGTATCACAGATAACATATTACCAATACTCCTACGATATACTTAAATTAATAGTTAATACGAATTGAGATGAGTTAAGCATGTATGTGTACATTAAACAACCGGCCCAATAATCTGTATTAATATTGTGTTGTATGTTCGGGGTAATCTCCGGTACTAAATCGAAAATTCCTTCACTGATAATTATATTACCCCTGAGTGCTATACACTACTTTTTACCGCGATATCTGACATACACGTGGGCAGAGCCGAGGGCAAAAACCAGTTGATACATAAAGTACTAGCCCCGTACCCTGCCACGGTTCGCCGTGGCACATTGTAAGACCTTCTTTGAAGCGGGTTGTTTATCGTATCAAAATTTTAACTCAATTAACTCAATGGGTGCAGAACTTTTTGGATTTTTAAAGCGTACCCAAACCAACTTAACGTTTTATATACTCGTATATATGTACATATGTATTAAATATTTTTAGTGTATTGTATAAATGTAATAGTATTTATTTAAATACACATATTTTCTATATTAATATATTATCTATATTATTATTTTCTATATTATCTTTCAGAAAATTTCCTGATCGCTAAAGCAGTTCAGTTTATTATATTTATAGGTTGAATAGGAAATACTTCAATGTCCTACCAAAACCAATCAGCTTTAGCTCTATGCATGTTTGAAACGGTACTTAGTCGAACTATGTTTCCGACGGCAGAATGTTATTCCGTATAGAAATAGACTTGTACATGCATTGATATTATATCAATGTGTACATGGTAGAATACCAGGTATACACATATCATTATACTAGAATATTCCTACTATAACCTATTATGTACATACATTCACTATTACTCGCTATAATACATTTATGTCAACGGAATTGATAAATTGCCAAACAATTTAGGTACAGCCAAATAATATTCCAACATATTACTCCTATTACTTTACCATTTATTGTATCATGTGTTTATTCTCACTTTTATTTGTAGTATGTAGTATGTAATTTTTTTAATGTATGTAATTAATAAGACTCAATTTTATCAAGGTGCAAAAATTAAGTCTTGCATGATTATTAATGGCGGCTGCTGATATTAATGTGGGAAATATTTTTGTCAAAATACTCCACTCTACTTTTGTTACAGACGGAATCCGTTTAAATATCAAGTTTTAAAGACAAACGATTCCGCTGCTCTGAGAAATTCAAACTTCGATTTTAGCAAAAAAGTAAAGGTGCTCGCTCACGGTTGGCTCAACCATGGAGACGGTCCGATGCCAGAATCTATCAAGGAAGGTAAATATCGCTATTTAAGCTGCTGGTAGTAAGTTTTCATTTCATAATAAATCATGTTGTCACAAATGTTCGTCCCCGACATGGCAACAGTGTCCAAATATCGACAACTAATTCCCGACACAAAAAATGGTAAATATCCCGTTTATAATAACTTATCAAGTGAAACTACTATATTTGAATCAATACATAATAAGAAAGTTTTGTTAAGTAACGATATTTATTATTTAGATTGCAAATTGTGGTTGTAATTTTTAAATTATTTTCAAAGTGAAAGAAATCTTACATCATGATCACATCAACAGCCTTTACTAGTCCACTGCTGGACATAGGCCTCTCCTTAGGAAAGAGGTTTTGGTTTATTCAAATAAAACTTCGCATCATGTATACATGTTTGGATCACTAACAGTCCTCAACAGTCCACTGCTGGACATAGGCGTTTTGGCCCACTATACCACGCTGGCCAGACGGGTTGGTATAGGGTTTGTTTCAAGTTTTCCTTCTCTCTGCAGTGCTGTTGTCCTGCGTAGTTTGCTTCCTTAGTCGCCTTTTACGACACCCACGGGATGAATAGGGGTGGTGACACTCTGTATTCTTAATCCGTCACCACACGGACAAGAAAGAAAGAAATCTAAACTAAGTAGATTTCTTTCATCTTGTCCCTTGTTTTAGGACAGGCAAAGAATTATGTTATACAGTTTTATCTTCCAGTTATCCTGAATAGCTGTTTTTCAACATTAATTCCAAGTAATTGTTTTAACTACACTATGATTTTAATAACACATAACATGCGTTCTCGCAAGGATTTAGAGAATAGATTTGTACTTAAAATTGAAAGACAGACGTATAATACCGATCTGTTGGGCTACATTCTTCATATTTCGCGTAACGTTTTTATTACCGATAACATTATGTCCATTTCAGCATATCTTAACGTGAGCGATTTAAATATATTAGTGGTGGATTGGGGCACCGCGGCGAATGTTAATTACGTTCTCGCAAGTTACAACGTGGCTTCAGTGGGCCGCCTCCTCACCGAGTTCCTTAATTTCCTCATATCAGAGGGCGTCTCCATGGATGACGTCCATCTTATAGGTCACAGCCTTGGTGCGCATGTAGTGGGGATAGCAGGCGCTTATATCAAACAAGGACCCATCGATACTATCACAGGTAAGGTCTGTTTTATGTCTGTGATAAATACGAAACAAATTTTCTAAGTAAAAAGTCTTACACAGAACTTTCTACATGAGTTTATAATTATTTCATTATATTAGACGTAAGTTTTCATGCAACTTAAGTTATATATTAATTAAGAGAAATAAAAAAAAACATATGACGTAGAGAGTAACTTACATGTTGACAGTTATTATTCCGTAATGGCTGATGGTAAATATAATAATACCAAGAGTTTGTCAGTAAAAAGTGACCTACAACAGTGAATTTGCATACTAACTTTCAAGCTTTCGTTTTCAATAGTATGAATTATATAATAGGTACATACCTTTATTTGCACTGGCCGTTTGCATTGTATTACGGCCAAGGTCAGCCAGTGAATATGGCCAGAGCCATCATCTATACCACGGTACTATTATAATACAGTAGTGTAACTCGGCCGCATGATAGAAATAAATGCCTACAGCCGCGCGGTACGTAAACATGCGTTAGGGCTGCCTGTCTCCAGCATTTTAATTATATTTGCCTACTTTCTGTTTCTATTTAGATTTGTGATTGTAAATATCCTTTTTATATAAATAAATGAAATACTTTGTATATTGAATAGGAAGTGTTCAATAAAAATGCGTGTTGTTTTTTGATTGGTAGATTTAATTATTTTATTTTCTTTCTGCATTGGAGGAGTTCAAGTTTCAGTTTTCTTTTTCTTGGAGTGTTGCTAGAGAGACTCGTTGATATTTGAGCAAAGATTTCATTTTCAGTCTGTGTACTATTTTCATTTCTTACCAACGGAGCAGTTTGGGTTTGTTTATCTTCTTTTAGAGATACTCCTAGATCAGTACTAGCTAAGCTTGACAGCATCAACAATGGTAGGGCATTCTTTTTAAAAGTTTTCTATTTGATGAATGTAATACATCCTCCAAATTAAAATGTTTTTCACAAACTTGGTAGGAACTAAAGTTAGGTTTGTTTTCCAAATCATCTCGCCGGATGAGTTGCAACCATTGAAGACGTCTGAAAAAAAAATACATGTGACACTCTCGGAGACTGCCGCGGTAAAGCTATTGCATAACATTTTTTTTTAAAAAAAAAAATCTGCGTGGTGTCAGGTATTTTTCGTTAGGTTTTGAGAATATTTTGATTCGGTCACCGCGCAGAGCCGCGCTCAGAGCCCGCGATAAAAGCTATGCAATAGCTTAAAAATCCTTCTATAGAATAAAAAAAATGAACTTTCTCCATACGCGTTACAAAACTCCAATCCTTAGAAACTCCAACACCTACCTACTCAACTAGAATGCAAGAAACAGCTGACGAGTAACTTAACGTACGTAACGTACGTAACTTTTTATCTCAGCTTATTAAGGTCTCTATAAATTAGGTACCTACCTACAACTCGCAACAACTCAAAACAAAAATTCTTTGGTCACCAATTAATTAATTATTAAAAAGCTGAACAGCTGGACTACGAATGTTTTAAAATCACAACCCTCAAACATCTAAATATTATATATGAGTCTAGCTGTTGTTGTTAATACCGAGAAAATGAAACCAGTTTTTAGTGGTATATGTTGTTTTAGTAGCAGCAGAAACACTTTGTGAAAATTTCGAAAACTATCTAATGACACACAGACGGTAAAAAAAAATTTCTAGTATTATTCATACACACAGATAATAAACAAATATTATTAAAAATAAAATACCACGTCTTTACTTTGAATTATGCAAAGTAACAAAACACACATGCACCGAAGTTTTAACACAAGCGTAAGTAGGTAGGTACCTACCGTATCATGATTCATTCAGAACCGCATATAACTACCTATTTCACTCGTCTCAATAACTTTCCGTTACTCTATTCGCTTTACTTATTAATCCAAACACCTTTATTTTCGTAAGATAAAGGGAAATACTTATCCATTAAAAAGACACACATTATGTACCTACCTACTAGTAAGTAAAATTATTTTATAGTCTTACCTTTCAGAGTTTCCAGGTAATTTAAAAAAACTTATGTCTGGATGCGTTATTGACGAATTCATACAACCAAAAACAGCACAATATTTCCTACTCGTCATATTAACTGATTTTTAGAGAAAAAATCGCGCGGTTATTGTTAAAAAAAACAACACACCGTCCGTTCGACACTGTGGTACAGCCGTGACTGTCTGCGCCCCGAGCGCACCCCGAGATCGAGGCGCGTAGGTATAGCTCGTGTTTCATCCGTTTGTATGAAGTTGGAGTACTGTATTATAATTGTACCGTGTCTATACTAATATTATAAAACTAAAGAGTTTGGTTGAACGGGCTAATCTTAGGAACTGCTGGTACGAGTCGAAAAATTCTTTCAGTGTTTATTGTTAGTCGTCTCTCAAAAGGAATACATTTTCCCCGTTTTTGAATCGATACTCGACTCCTATCGATTGTAGCGTGACGTAACTATATATAATTAGGGTTAAAGTATGAAATTGCCGTTGTATAGTAATAGATACTTTGAATTGGTTTAAAACGAGGTGCGAGAGTTTCGTGTGAACCTTTTTTCACATGATACCTTACCTACCTTAGATTCTTCTTTTAAGAAATGGGCAACATTCGATTTTCGACTTTCGATTCTTTTTCTTATTCAGTTTAGACTTAGACATACTTCGAAAATCATTTTTGAATACGAGTTTCAACGCGGAACTAACGCGGTAGAAACGGCTCGCAATATCACCGCTGCGTTTGGAGAGGAGACTGCTAATGAACGTGAGTTTTTAGTTTAAACGTTTTCGTAATGGAAACTTCGACTTGCAGAACGAACCGCGTGGAAGACAACCCACGCAGGTGAATAACGCTGAATTACAGGAGATGGTGGAAGCCCATCCGAGTCAAACTACCCACTAATCAGCGGCATAGTTTAACGTTATCCTACCTACAATATTGACTCCTTTGCATTAAATCAATAAGATAAAAAAAAGAAAAATGGGTACCTCATGTTTTGACTGATCTTCAGAAAGAAATGCGTGTTGCCTTGTTGAATCGGTACAGAAATGAAGGAATATTAGATCGAATTGTGACATGTGACCAAAACTGGATTGTTTACGATAACCGTAACTGAAAAATGCAATGACTGACCCCAGGTCAAACGCTGTAACAGTGCCCTAACACAAAGCTTACCAATAAAAAGGTAATGGTAACTATTTGGTGGTCTCTTCATGGTGTTATTCACTATAGCCTCTCAGGTCTGGTCAGGCAATAACATCAGCCCCGATTCGTGAATCGATCTTCACCATTATTGCTCCATGTTAACGCAAAACCTGACACTGCACGAGAAACCGTTGAATACCTTTTTTTCGTTATTTGAACAATTTTCTACGAGATAAAACAATTTCATCACTAAGGGCAGTACAAAATGCTTTCACATAGTTTGTTGAATCTAGATCCCCAGAGTTATATCGTAAAGCATAAATGAACTTCCGTTTAGATGGCAGCAATACTTCCTCGTTAAATGGGCTATCGAACACTAAAATAATTTTTCAATTTGAAAATGTAGTTCCTGACATAAACGTGTTTAACCGAACAAACATAGATAAACAGAATCAGATACAGAAACATATATTTTTTTTTTATTTTAGTGCAGATTATGGAAATGAATAAACGCGTACAAACAAACATTGATTTTTCTATTTAAAGATAAGGTTCCTAAAAAGAGTGATAGATCACTTTTTAATTACGTGTTTGTCGTAATTTGTTAGATCAACTTTACTTCTCTTGTGCGTTTAATGCCAAGGTGTTTACGCAACCAATTTCCTTGGCTTTCATAACAAAACCACAGCAAATTAGCCGGCATTGTTAGTTTAATTCTAGTAATTTCTTCGAAGACTCCTTTATTGTTTGTTCGTTATACCTTTACTCTCTGTGAATTATTAAAATGTTTATACAAAACACTAATAAGAATAGATATGAGTTTTAACTGAAAACTCATAAGCTAATCAATAATAACTAAATTGCACTAAACTATCGCATAAATTGCACTTCATGAAAATATTCCTACTTTAAACTGACAATAACTTGTAGAATTTAGAGTCTTTCTTTTAGTTCGTCAAAAGCCGCTGGACAGAAGCTGATAGCGGCAGACTATCCGCTCCATGTCGAACCATGATGCTGACCACGACCCTCAGAAATGAGGGACGACATCAGAGATTCGTCGTCGTCTTATTATTAAGTGGCCTTTGATTATTTGTATCTGGGTAATAAGTCATGTGATTTATAAAGCGTTAACAGTTGTCTTTCGTATTTCAGGGTTGGATCCAGCGTTACCGTTATTCACTATTGGCAACAAAGATGCAAGACTGGACAAGCATGATGCTCGACATGTCGAGGTCATACACACTTGCGGAGGATACCTTGGATTCAATTCACCTTTGGGTCATATTGACTTCTATCCAAACGGCGGCACTAGACAACCGGGCTGCGGATTTGACTATAGAGGTATTTGAGTAAAGACTATAGAGTTCGTGTGCACCTTCCCTTTTTAAATTAAAGCTTTGCAAGTACAAGAAATTAATTATTTAGATGTCAGTATAATACTTGCCGCCTGCACGGCTGCGGTAAGCGTATCTTCACTTCTGATGTGGCTTACATCATAATATCATATCAAAACCTAAGTCAACATTGTATGTAAATTGATCTTTTCATCATCATCCTTTAATAGTCCTACATAGGCCACTCCTTAACAAGGAAGTTTTGTCATACGTCGGCTCTTACGACACCCACAGGATGAACAAGACAACTCCCGCATTAGGAATAAATCCTGTGTCGCGGGGGACTTTACAAACATACATGAAACGCACACAAAGAACACCCAGACTCAGAACAACAATTTATGGATCACACAAAGTGTCGTCTCATGTGGGGTTTGAACCCACAACACTCGGCGTAGTAGGAAGCGGCGTGGTGACCGCTTAAACCACTACGCCATCCGTGCAGTCAAAATTTTAGATTTTCCTATATAACAACGCGTGATAATTTGCGGAATGAGGGGGTGTTAAGCTCCGCCCACTTTCACTTTTTTCCATCTACCAAATAATAGCAAAACTACACGCATCGTTCTATGTCGATGTTGCTATTTAGTTTAGCTATCTCACACTAAGTGTAGGATTCAAGGGACGTACTCAGAATTTTAGTATCAATGACTTTTTTCAGATTAGTTTTCTGTACCATCTTGATACTTGCATCGATTGCAAAAATGTTACTCATATAATAATCGTACTAACCTCCCTAATATTATAAAAGCGAAAGTTTATGTGTTCTTTGGTTGTTTTTTCGTCTTATGTTTTTGTCCTATTGTCACTCCATTGTAAGACCGTTATGAGTTTATGATTAGTCAAGTATACTTAATATACCCTCACCCCGCAAATTGTCAAGCGTTGTTTGATAGAGAAGTCTAATTACAACACCTCTTTGTATTTGCTTCGTGGGTATAACTCATAAATGACCATTTCTTGGGTAGACTTTTACGAAATGATAAACATATTCAAATTTTTTTTTTACAATAAGAATGTTACTTATAATTTAAAAATTTCCAAAAATACAATTTCCTTCATTTTCATATTAGAAGTACTTTTTTAGATTAACATTCGATTCCAATTTTGGACCTGTCTTTTTATTCAGTTTATTAATGTTTTTCTAGTTGACGATAGATGACACTCTGTTCACAAAATGATTACAAAAAATTTAGGTAAATATATTGTTTTGGTATTAAAAAGTCCTTAGGACTGTTTAAATTACACAAAGTTTAGTCATCTAGTGACAAATAGAAGTAACTATACTTCAAAAAACAAAAAGAGATTTTCCAATACTATTTTAATAAATTAAGTATAAAATTACTTACAAATGAAATGCGATAAAATACATAAAATTTACCGATTTTGCGACACAAGCGCACAGTACGGACGGTGAGTGTATTAATTTTAAACCACGCCCACTGTGATGACGTAAGGACCTACTTAGAATCGCAGTGCACAGTTGCTTATACAATCTCCTCTTTGTATTTGCTCCGTGGTGCCACCGCAAAGATGGCAGGCCACAGATAGATCTATTTATTTATATTTTGAAATATTGAATGTTGGCTTATTGTGACAGGTCTATGTGCCCACAACCGAGCCCACATGTTTTTTGCGGAGTCTATCATTTCCAATGTGGCGTTCACTGCAGTAAGATGTGAGAGCTACGACGAGCTGTACTATACAGGTTCCTGCAAAGGGACTGGCGAAAAACTAATTATGGGCGGCTTTGACATACATTATGGGTAAGCGTGTTCTGTGCTTTAATATTTATATTATTGGGTTTAATAAATTGTTGACTGAACTAATTATCCTGATAATTCGTTAACATATAAGGTACCTTTGCCTAATTAAATATTATTACATCATATAAACTCCGTGACAGTAACTTTGATAAACACACAATAAAAATAGTAAAAAAAAAAAAAAAAATTAAAAATAATAAAATAATTAATAAAAATAGTAACAATTAACAATTGATTAAATATCTAACTTGGTAAAATGTAATAGCTAATAAATTGACGTCAAAATAACAAATTATTAGGGTTTGGATTAAATTAATGCTTACTTAATTCCTTTTGAACGGAACATCCAGCCAAGTCTTGAAAGCGTATAACAAAAGAAGGTCATTTTAGGTATTCATGAACACAGTTAACTTTCGTCGCTTCTATGTTTAATTTAACAAAGAACACTCATTTGTTAAGCAGTAACAACATTAGCTTAAATCTTTGAGATCAACGCTCATTGTTTTGTTTCAGGAAGGATGGTATTTACTACTTAAAAACAAACGCCGAGAAACCCTACGCCCTGGGGGACCCAGACGACGGTGACCCAACATGAATTAAAATAAAATATTAATATCCCGTTTTGCCAACTTCACCTATAAATTAAATTTTCAAAGAAATTATTACTGAGTTGTCCGTTTCTATTCGCCACCATCGTCCGACTGCCGTTCATTTATTTATGCTGAAGTTCTCCAGTGCGCATTTTTCTATAATGTCATCTAGTCGGAATAGAGCGTGTTATATGTTTGTACTCTCTATTCATAAAGATTATTGAATATCTGTTTAATATATTATTATGTATAAAAATCTGTATTATGGATATTTAATTGCTTTTCGTAACAGATGTTGTAAATACGGCTATAACAATAAAGTAATCAAGACAAGAACTGCATGTTTATTATTGTATTGAATACTGAATTGTTTTAGAACTGAATTTATAAAAAATAATAATAATTAGAACAAAAAAGAATGCCAGATATTTAGGTATTTGTTTTTTTTTTATTACAAAATTCAAATTAAACACTTTCATTTTCTTTTGTGAAATTGTACGATCGCCTTTATGCACAAGGTAATTTGTTCGTTGAATTGTTTAGTGCACTATATCAGTTATCAGATAGGATCAAATATTAATATTATAAATGTAACACTTTTGTTTATTTAAATTTGTTTACATTTTTCTTGGAAACCATTTAACTATTGAAATTTAGTCGTATGAATACAATTCATCGGATAGTAAATGAATTCTTGACGCTATAAATAAAACGTCACTTAGTAATTTGACTTTCAATTTATATAGGAAGTTAATTTTGTTGGCAAATCTCCAAAAGTCAGAGAACAATTAGGTACTTGTTATCTAAAATGAAAATTAATTCAGCCACGACCCCGTGTTTGTTGAAATTTAATTATTTTTTATTGCTGTTATTTAAAACCTAATGGAATGATTCCTGTTTACTTAATATTAATTTATTTAGTGTAGTTTATATATTTTATACAAATTAGAGAAAAGTTAGTTCTGCAAGTTAAAGTATGTAAATAAATAAACCTACATAAATAAAAAGGCATATTGTTAATTTACCACATAAGTAAATTTGTTCCGAAAATGCTGGGTAGTTATTTCTTAAATTTTGACGTTTTTATTTATTTTTTGTGTTAGAGTTAGTACATACCTACTAACGTGTAACTTAATTAATTTAAGAAATTCCAGCCTCTGTATGTTAGAAGGTAAAAACAATCTAAAATAATTCCTGAGCTAAGTGAAAAGATCTGCTCAAATACTATAAGCAGGTTAATGTGCTAAACTTGATCAAAATATACCAGAGGACTCGTTTATTCTAAGTATGATATTATTATATAATCTGAGTTAGAAGAATGAGTGTACTCATAAGTGTTATTGCATTGGGGCCAGAATAGATTCAGTCCCACGTTCCTACTTCTAGTTTTATACCTTGTAGGATGCAGATAAATAAATCAAACTAAATTTTGCTATAAACTTTTTAATACTATTATTAAAAAGTTTATAGCAAAAATTTAGTTTGATTGGCAATTTCATAGGTAAAGACCTATGGTCTTTACCTATGAAATTGCCGTTTTGTATGCAATAAGTGAAAGTACTTATTCTTTCAAACTTTTTTATTTCTGTTATTCGAAGTAATCACCCATGCAATCGACGCATCTTTGCCAACGCTTTGGCAGTTTATTGATGCCCTTCTTGTAAAAATCAGCTGGACGGGAGGCAACAAACTCTTCAAAGGCATTTTGTACTGCCTCTCGGGAATTGAATTTTTTACCCACTAAAAAGTTGTCTAAATTTTGGAAAAAGTAATAGTCGGTAGGTGCAAGGTCTGGTGAGTATGGCGGATCAGGGAGAGCTCCCAACCCCAGCTCTTGCAGCTTGGAGACTGTCTGTTGCGCAGTATGGGGTCGCGCGTTGTCGTGAAAGAGCAGTGGGGACGACCGATTGACCAAAGCTGGTTGCTTGGTACTCACCATCACTTCTCGTGATCAGAAGGCTGGTATTTTTCTAGCACAGAGAATTAGCATTGCCATTCAACGTGGCAATGCTGCCAGTCTTCTAGGAACGCTACCAGTAGGCGATGATGCGGAGGAATTTTTTGATGCTTCTATGTAGATAGTGTTAATGTTGTAAATATTCTAACTTAATTTTATTTAATTTTTAATTTATTTTTATTTTCGTACTAGATACTAGAATTTCCTCCCTTATTTTTCACTTTCTTGCACCTTTTATTAGCTTTAAAAATTGTTGTTGTTATATTTAAGTGATCTTATTAGAAATAAATTCATACTTAACATAAAAGTAATAATGATGATGATAAATTTTTGGCATCATTGTGATGATGACTAATACAAAATGATGATAATACATTTTCAGCTTTGTTTATTTTACTAAAATTCCAAAGACTTGCCTAATTCTCTTTTGTCGCCGCTCGCCTGACAACAATCTAAAGTGTGTATGAGAGAGTATTTTTAGAACGGCAAAAGAGAAAATTGTTATTCAGAGAAAATGGGTCAAAGTTCTGAGAAGGACAAACTATCTATATACATAATAAAAACAAAATATACTTAAGCCTCGGTGCGAGGTCAGATTTCCACTTGTACTAGTAGTATTTGTTTTGTGTTTTATTTATGGCTAGGCTATATTTTTATTAAAATATATCATTGGATTTTTTTTCTTTTTATTCCACACTGATAAACAATGATTGTTAGAATAGAACTTGCTGCAGGTACTGAAATTTGAAATTTTAAAAAATATACTGTGCCTATTCACTGTAGCATGGAAAATCCATACACTCAAAACTCCATTTAAATCGGCTTCTTCTTCTACTTCGTCGTGTTAACGGGTGAACACCCATAAATTTTGTCTGTCCAAAATGCCGCCACAGAAACGGCATTGTCCGTTACTCTCTACAGCTCCTCTACAGTGCAGGTGGAGGAATACAGAGGGCAAGAAAGCAAAATGTCATAGTCTGCATAGGAACGGTACATTTACAGTGCGTTTGCGACTGGTCGTTGTAGCCGAAATTTGCCATAGTCGGTCGTTGGTTCAAACCCCACTGGTAATTCAAACCGGCAATATCCCTAAAAATGTGAAATCACTGGGAATAGGTAACTGAACCTGAGAGTTTTTTTTACCACTTTCTTTCTCGTATTTATAGAACCAATGAAAATAATTTAGCTCCTGAAAGCTTATAGTTATAATCAAACGGTCAGATCAGTTTTCAGTGATCATTAGTCTTAGGAATATGTAATTTAATGATGAAAAGGGATGTATACGTTGTTATATTTATATTTTTACTATTATTTCTTATTTCTTCTATTCTCTTGCTCTGCGGACAGTATTCCTTTATATGTAGTTCTTTTTTGTTCACTTAAAAATTGTCAACCCAAGTGTAGTGCATAATTCTTTTCACACCACCTGGTACTGGACTGGTAGAGAATGCCTATAGCATTCTCTACTAGCATTGTATATTTTGTGCATAAAGTTATTAAATAAACAAATAAGTTTTGTTGTGCAGTAATATAGGCAATATTTATAACTTTATTATTATAATGTGTAATGTATAATGATAAATAATGAGAAGCTTACAAATATTAGTTTTATTAAAAAGTACCTACACCCTAGGAAAATCCATCCTTTATATATTTTATTATTATGTCAATTTTTGAAGAGCTTGCATTCTTGTATTGTACAGTTACTATTTTTATGGTATAAGGGGGCAAACGAACAGATGGGTCCTGATGGTAAGCAACTACCGCCGCCCATGGACACCTGCAACTCAAGTCACAAGTGCGTTGAACTTAACTCAGATTTGTTTTTTAACCTGGCATAGCATTTGTACTCGTAGCATATATAATTTATAAAGTTCCGGTCTGGTACTAAGTTTTTTATGTTTATTGTTATTACTTAAGAGGGCGTATAAAGCAAAATTACCAATCTTATTTTTGATTTTACATAAAAAATTCCGGATCAAATCTTAAAATAAAAATGTATGAAGAACTACATGATATTTCCGAGGGTTCACTTTGATCAAAAACATGAAATAATAACATTTCCTCGATAGAAAAAAATCACGAAGTAACCTCTAATTCTAATATTTTTCCGTTTTGTACTCGATATGGTAATGCCTATTGCGACAAAAAATTGATAATTAATTATACTTATACAAGAGTAAAGGCTTTGTTTAGGCATTTTATGTAATTCGTTTTAGTTTTGGATTTAGACGATATAACAGTTTTGGCGCATACTACGTTTTTATTCCGCGCAAGAAGTCATCGTCCGTCGCACGTTGCGGGAGCTTCAAGCATATTTCTATTTCAGACATCAGTCGCTACCGCTCCGTTGAGACGAGAGGACTGCGCTCAAGTGCTTAGGCGCGCCGAGTTATTATCAATTCAATTATTAGATTATTAGGATAGGAGGTAATAAATTAGATATATAATAGGTAGCTATTTACTTTTGCTTTTTGTTATATTATTCTTCACAATAAAAAAATCTGATCATTTTCCCCTAGTGTAATTATGATATCTTCCAAAAGTCTAGATAGACGTATGGACTACATAATGATCTTGCGAGTATTCTATAAAAATATTAAAATAATAATAATTACATTCTCCATAAGTCTATGATCACTCATAAGTAACGCGGGCAGTATAGTTTGGTATAGTATATGCAAAATAAACACAAGCTTTTAGTTGGTGTCTGTGTTTGTTCGATGAAATATATTTATGTCGATTTCGAAGCTATTTAAGTATGTCCATTAGGTATTTAAAACCTATTTTTTACCGACTTCCAAAAGAAGGAGGTTATCAATTCGACTATTATGTTTTTTTTTGTGTGTTTGTTACGCGATTAGGTACTCCATTTATTTTTATTGTTCTTTTTTTATTTGAAAAATTATACTCCTGAGGTGGTCTCATTTAAATTTGGTGAAGATCTGATGCTGGTCTTCGGAGATATACAATGGAACTCTTCAAAAATAGACGTTAAATCGGTCGTGATGGCTGCAATCGCTTGGATGTTTATATGCTTGTCAAATA